CCTAACCCTAACCCTAACCCTAACCCTAACCCTAACCCTAACCCTAACCCTAACCCTAACCCTAACCCTAACCCTAACCCTAACCCTAACCCTTGTAACCCTAACCCTAACCCTACATCGTCGGACTAGGTTACTCAGGCAAGCCTGAAATTGGAGCCCCTGAACCGCAAGCTGCCGCCCAGCGTGGAGAACGGCACCGCATGCTCGTGAATTATTTAAGGTTGTCTTCGGCGATAGCAGAGCTATTTGCATCTTTGTACCCCATTGCAGCACCCCGCCGTGCGAGGCTTGGCTCGCTCAATTTCCATCGGGAGGTAGAGCGCTGCTATCTGGCGACCAAACAGAGATAACTACAAGACGCACCAATCTCTTCAGCAGCGTCTTCAGCCGCGCGTCTATCGAAGCGACTTGTTGTCAATCGCGCGCTCATCAACTACAGCTCGTGTCTTCAGACAGATCAAGGCCCAAGTAGAGCCAAGTTTGTTCCGCCCGCAGCCCGGCGGCGACGGATGTTCTGTTTGATGTAGGCACCTGGATCACGATGTACGTACAGACACCTCAACATCTCGAGGTGCAACATGCTCAAGGCCACCGTGCAGCGGATTGGTGATTCAGTGGCTTGCTCATCACAGGAACGGCTTTCAATCAAGCTCAAGTGCGTAAGATTCTAATATACGGCGCGCTGGAAGTCTGTTACGCCCAAGCTCACAGCGGTAATCGCTTTTTTTAGCTTTGTTTGGAGACAGACACAGACTCGAGATCGAGAAAGATGCTCGAGCTCAGCACCTGAAGCAGTCGCTACCTCTGGTATTCGATGTGGCAGAAGCCTCTCTAGGACGCTTGCTATTGCTGAAGCCATCATATTCTGAGGCCAGACAATCGGATGATGAAGACTTTCGCTTTTTGACCACCTTCCTCATCATCCGATTGAACCTGGAGCATGTGAGACACGGCACACACAGGCGCGTACTACAGGAGGATCATTCCCAAGCAACCAGGCCAAAACGTCCTTCGCCTTGCTCCATCCTGCGTCCAACATGGGTGTTGCCCTTCTTGTCCGTGTATGACTGTCCTGGAGCCAGTGGGATGTGATGCTGCTGATAAGTGTTGCCGTTGACGGTGCTCGTGTAGGGAATCGTTGCGCCATTGGCGTCAGTGGCCGTGCCGGTGACGTGCAAGCGAGTGTCGCCTGTAGCTGGGTTCTTGTGCAGGCCACCATTCGCACTGAAGCCGGTCATTGCTGGATAAGACGTCTGGTGATGGTCAACAGCGGTTTGAATGGCCTGTTGGTGGTTCTTGTCTTTAAGGCCGTTGAATTCGACGCCAACTGCGCGACCAAACAGCTTGTCTGCAGCAAAGGCATCGTGAGTCTCTGCCTGCGGGATGGGAGCGCCGAAAGCCAATGACGCAGCGGCTACCGCCACTGCCGCCAGGCTAATGTACTTGAGCGAGCAGCGCATATCGTGAAGAGTGATGGTCTAATGAGGAGGAGGATGTGTCTGCTCTTCTTGAGAAATGAGGGAGCCAAGCGACGGTTTGGGCCAATGCGATGATGGCGAAAAAAAAAAAAAAAAAAAAAAAAAAAAAAAAAAAACAAAGAAAATCCAAGAAAACTCAACTTGACGGCCAGCGGCAAGCGAAAGAGATGAAGAAGAAGTGAGGTGGAAGTGAAAGCGATGAATGATTGCGGTGAAGATCCATCGAGGTGGTATCCAGGCCGGGCTTAAGTAGTGCACAGCTCTGGACTCAGTTCAGGATCAACGCTGCTGAGCAAGCGCCAGACAGGCCCCGCTTGCCACCAACCGAATCGCAGACAAAGGTGCTGGACCTACGAGTGGGCTGTTGGTGGAAAGCCCCATTGTTCCAAGAGGGTCAGAATGTGCGTGCGCAACGAGGGTGTGCATGAAGCTAGCGCCTCGCGCCTTCTTGCAGGAGGAATGTGCCGGATCCAGGGGTGATCTTCCGCTTTCCGCCCTTTCACGTCACACGACGAGGCACGTTCGGCTTACAGCTAAGCCTAGCGTCCGTCCCAAGTGTCAGGGTTAGGGTTAATGCACCATCCTAGTCATAGTCAGCATCTTCCAAGCTTGAGTTCGCCCCGTCGGTGCCATCGGGTCATGCCGAAGAGCGGAACGCTACTTGCGGAGAATCGTGTCCTGGGCACTCCCGTCACGCGCTTCACCAGAGCAGATGACAAGTCATCGATAGCTGCTGGCAATGAGCAGCCCTCATCGAGCTCGAGTTTGCGCGATGCAGCTACAACGCCCACGCGCATAATACGCCCAACTATTCATGCCCGGCGGCGCCCTGGCGCAGTCTCACCATGCGATGTTCTGGTCAAGTTCTACAATCACGTGAACTTGAATCTGAAGAAGGTATGTAAACAAAAACGCGAATAAGAATTCAGAACCCTGCTACTACTAATAATAATACGACACAGGATCCAAGAGTGAAGCATGGCTCGAGCGCGCGCGCGCTCGCGTATAAGGCTTGCGCACCACGAAAGTAGCCTCTCCTCTTTAAACGGCTCTCCACACAACACATCCACCATCCACCACGCAGCCGCACCTCTAACCCGGACTGACCCGTACACATCAGGAAACAGATCCCTTCTTGTCTGCCTAGATCCTTCCTTCACACTACGAATTTTGAGCGAGATCCCTCCTTCTTCGTCAGAGACATGCATCTACAAACCTCGCTCACCAACCAAAGCGTCTGGCGCGCTCTGGCTGCGAAGCCAACTCTCGGCCAGCAGATCACCCGTCTGACGATCAAACAAACTGCAGAAGATCTTCAAGAAAGACCAGTGCCCGAAGATGTCGTTCCAGAAGCGCTTGAGGCTGCTGTTAGTGCACTAGTCTCTACTCCTGTTCCCGACGTTGGAAGCTCAGCCTCGATCGAGGAGCAGCTGGCTCAAGCAGTGAGCGCGGAAGAGAGCCTACTCGAAGCAATGCAGGGAATGAGCCAGTTGCGCGAACTCACATGGTCAACACATCGTGAGTCTGCAGCGAGGATACCTGCCGCAGCAACATCATCCTCAGAGCAACATTTCCTGACCGCTCCTCTGTGCAGCACCCATCCTGTCGCTCCCTGTACGCGCTTCCAAAAGCGGCACGGACGTCTGGCAGACACTCTCTCGAGTGTCAGCATCTACGTTAGAGAAATTGAGGGTACTTGATGCCGCCGAGTTTCCCGCGCTTCGAGGGCTGGATGAGACCACTGCAAAACTTTCAAAAGAGCAGGGCGAGGCTGCCGATCCGCTCTTTGAGAAGAGAGCGTCGGTTCACGACGGCTCAGTGCGTATGCGTATCGGTGCACTTTGACCAACTCTATGGCATTATTTCGGCTAATGATGCTTTGACTGCGTCATTCGCACAGCTCTTTGACCAATCGTTTCCGCAGCTCAAGACGTTTGAATACACCTGTAAGCGTGTCCTCAAGACTTAGTTCGAGCTTTCCATGTGCTGGATTAACCCGATTGTCTTCCCCAGGCTACTCCTTCAAGCATGGCACTGTTGATCCGCCGACGAGCCGTCTTGCCAGTTTCCTGAGTCGCAGCACACAGCTTGAGGTAGGTATGCCTGCCGATTTCAACATCCCTCGCAGCTAGCTAGATCATCAGGCTGACGCTCGACACTCTGCCCCAGACCCTCGAGCTGCACTTTTTCTTGCATGGCGCGCGCTTCTCGGCTCCTTCACCGGCTTGGTCCGCAGATATTGGACCTGTCTTGTCGCTCGTCTTCCCCAAGCTCAAGATTCTGCGCGTTACAGATTCACGCGCTTCCGCCAAGACGCTAGCTTCTTTCCTCACCAAGCACGAAGCGTCTTTGGAGGAGATCGGCTCACGAAGTCTCAGCGCTGAGAGCGCACGTGAAGATGAACTTGGCCAAGGTGAATTGGCAGAATGGGACCGAAGGGGAAATCTGCAGAGCTGGACCGTGGAGGGCGTAGCAGGCCCTGGCGGCCTGAGCAAGTAGCTGTAAACAAGCTTTGCCTCTCAGCAACCTTCATCGCTTTCAAATGCCTGCCTGATCTCGTCGGACCGGATACCCTTTGCGCCCACCTGGTCTCCGAGTGCAAGAAAAGACTGGAATAGTGCCCTTTGTTCCTTGCATGGCGACACGAGTTTGCTTACGCGCGCGTTTGGTCCGTGTTTGTGCGAGACTAGTCGTCATGTGCTCAGCGTGGTCCTTCTTCCCGCATGTTCTGCATGTACCATATAAAACGCTGCCTCTCTCTCTCCTCTTGCAATGTGCAATCCACAATACATCCCCCCTCATTCTCTCACACAGCATGCCCTCCTCCCCACCACGCATTGCCATCATTGGCGCCGGTCCCGCCGGCCTCTCTTTGGCCAAGCTGCTCACCCTGCCCTCCTCTCCGCGCGTCAAGGTGACCGTCTATGAGCTGGACGCCTTCCCAACCTCGCGAACCGAACAAGGCGGCACACTGGACCTGCACGCCGACTCTGGCCTTGCTGCGATCCGAAAAGTGCGGCCTGTGGGATGCGTTTCTGACGCACGCGCGGTACGAAGGCGAGGAAACGATTCTCAAGAAAAAAAAGGACACGACGCTCTTCTACGAGGGCGCATCGTCACCGCCAAAGAGCAAGGAAGAGCAGGACAGCGTCTTTAGTAGGCCTGAAATAGACCGAAAGAAGCTCAAGGAGATCCTGCTGGACAGCGTGCCGAGCGACATGATCAAGTGGTGCTTCCATCTGCGCGAGGTCATGGCAGACGGCATGCTCCGCTTCGACGACAGGGAACACCTCGAGGGCCCGTTTGACTTGGTCGTGGGTGCTGACGGTGCCTGGAGCAAAGTGCGGGCGAAACTGAGCGACGTGGGACCGGTCTACTCGGGAGTGAGTGGGTACGAAATGGAGATCAAGAGCCCGTCATCATCGTGCCCGCACGTCGACAAGATGGTCGGAAAGGGAATGTACATTGGACTCTCGGACGGCAAGTTTATGAGTGCACAGCGGCAGGGCAACGACAGCCTCCGGGTGCGCAGCTGGCAGATGCTTCCTTACGGCGAGACGGAAAGGGCGCTCAAGAGGGACGGAAAACAGGGCACAAAGGACAAGATATTGCAGGTGTACGCGGACTGGGACCCGCGAATGACCGAGGTGCTCCGGCAGGCAGACGCAGAGACAATGACGCAGTGGACATTGCATGAGCTGCCCGTGGGGACCAGGTGGGACCATCAACAAGGCTTCACACTCATTGGCGACGCTTCCAGTCTCATGACGCCGTTCAGTGGAGAGGGCGTCAACAAGGCGATGCGGGATGCGCTCGACTTGGCAGCGTGCATCGCAAGGAGTCGGGATGGAACGGGGGAGCTCGCTTTGGATGGAGCCGTGTCAAGGTATGAAGCGGAGATGTTTCCTCGCGCAGAACAGCACCAGATTGAGACGGCGCGCAACAAAAGGATGTTCTTTGGGCCGGCAGGAGCAGCAGGCTTCATGGTCGGCATACTGGGACACGTCACAAGAGAGAGCTCATGGCGGTCAGTGCGACTGCTTGGATCGTGGCCTGTGCTCTGGACTGTGCACACACTTCTGTGGGCGTGGACGCAAGCAGGCTGGGCCATGCGCAGGTACTGGAGGCGGACGTGAGCAGAGCAGTGTATACAACCTTATATAATAGACTTTACCTGATACCCTCGTGACTGGCAGTGTGTGTGTGATACAGTTCAATCAAGAGTCCAGGTCGCTAAGAGTAGAAATGCAAGGGCGGTGATAGGGCCACGTCTGCCTGTGTCAGGCTTGTGTCATCGCGCCTCAGAAGGCCCTGCTGACAAATCGCGCCGGGCTGCGTCAGACGTGCATTGGGCAAGCAAGAACAGGATGATGCTCCACTGTATGAATGAAGGAGTATGCTGACTGACTGACTCACTGACTGACACCACCAACACCAGAGTATTGCTGCCATGAACTACCTCGCCGCGCCCTTCAACTTTGTGGCCAAAAATTTCAGTGTTCCTGCCTCGCACCTCTCTCTCCCCCGCGACTCGCTCTTCAGCCTGGCCGATGTGCCCAGCCTGGCTGGCAAGGTCGCCCTCGTGACGGGAGGCAGTGAGGGAATCGGACTGGCGTGCGTCAAGTGCTTGATTGACCACGACATTGAGAAGCTGTTTGTGCTTAGCCACCGACGCGGCGTGTTTGAAGAGGGTCTAGCGAGCATCAATGAGGCAAAGAGGAAGTTTAGTGGGTTAGGCTAACCCTAACCCTAACCGCGGCAGAGCCGCACGCTGCTACGCAGCGGACCCTAACCGGCCACGCAGCAAACCAAAGTCAAGTTGTGGCAGACGCTCAAGTGGGCATCTGACCAAGGTCTGGGGACTTCCGGGCGCGCTGCGCTCTACTTTACGCCGTAAAATCCTCGACTTATACCAGTAGACTGAAGCAGACTGCTAGAGCCGTACCGTTCTAGTGGGCCGCAAAGTGGTGTACCACTTCTGAGGAGCATGTGGTAGTCTGGCTGGGTTCCGTTCCACCACGTGAGCAAAAAGGTGAAAGCGTTCAAGTCAAAAGTGCGCGTTGCGACCAGCGCACTGGGCAAAACTTGACATCTGCAGAGACCGATCAAACAAATCCTCCGAGCAAAATTTGACATCAGCAGATGCATCGAGCGATGCCCTGGGCTCAAGCTTCAGCGTACGAAAATCCAAAAAGCAGCCCACTTCGCTGAAGTGGCGGCGCAAGACACCTTCAATGATTGTCGTAAAGTCGGGTCGTAAGGAGAGACGTCATGCGTTTTTGTATCGAGTCATGCGTTTTTGTATCGAGTCATGCATTTTTGTATCGAGTCATGCATTTTTGTGTCTCGAGTACAGGTCGGGCGATGGCCAAGGCAACGCTTAGCTTTGTGCACACCGAGCAAGTTCGTGGAAGCGCGCACGTCTGCAAGACCTGTTCGGGTCTTGCGCTGCTCATACGAAGCGCGCAAAAGGGACGTGGGCAGGCTCACTTGACTGTTGTTGTTGTTGTTGTTACGCCGGCAGAAAGTCGATGCGTTCACGATTACAGTGGATGTGCATGTCCTTTCCCGCTTCATGCTCGCTCGTCAGTGATGCGTCGGTCCGAGACGATTGACGTCCTGAGCAGTGACAGGCTGGGGCAGCCGGTCGGCACTGTCAAGGCTCTATCGTGGTTGCTGGGTCCGCAGGCACCGCCTGCCGCTCCTGCAATGTCCTCCTGAGGTCCTCAAGCGCTTGTTCAACCCGAACGCGGAACACTGTTTTGATCCAGTGGAGACTACGCTGGATGATGAAATGAAGCTGAAACATGCACCACGGAACGCAGATCTTGCCCATCCAGATCTGCACAAGGTGCTGCCAAAAGAAGGACTGTCAGCATGTATCTCAGCAAGCTCGCCGAGTCGAGCGATGTAATGCCATGCACGATGAGCACAAACCAAGCGCTTCGCGGTAGACAGCCCCGACTTACCACGTCAGCCTGACGGAACTTGCGATTCGTCGGATACTCGAAAGCGATCATCACTTCCCAGAGATCGCCTGAAGTGCAGAAAACAAGAACGGGCAGCAAGGGATCCTGCTGCATTGTTGATACAGCGGCAGCTGCTGGCACACATTGCTTGTGAATCTCGCGTAGGGAGCGGAGCATGATGAGAGCCTTTGCGGCACCTCCTGCTGCTTGATTCTCTGCGTGGTACAGTGGATTCGAGTCCGACTTGGCTTCAAGTATGAGGCATGGGTAAGCCACGTCTCGAAGTGAATCGGACGGCCAGGCGTGAAGGCCAAAGAGGATCTTGGCTGCTAATAGAAACTCATCGCTGAGCGGAGGCGCTTGAATGGGCAAGTCAGCGGTCTCGTCTCCTGTGACCGATTGTGGAAGCAAACCATACGCCAAGTCAGGCTTTGGTGTAGACACCGGATCGAGCTCTCCAGACAGCGGTCCAATTGGCTCATCCCAAAGCTCGTTGCGTCTGCTCGACAAACGGGAACCAAATGAAATCGAAAGCGGTCAAAGATGCCTTTGCGAATCTCATCGCCTGCTCAATCATATGAAGGACCCACTCACGACTGGCCTAGCTCCCCACAGTTTGTGGCGTCACTCATTACGTCCTCTACAAGTAACATCCACGTGGTTTCCTGCTTGCCGTAGTAGGATTTCACTCGCGGCCCCGTGATAGACAGACTTCGCGAAAGTGCTCCTCTGCTTCCGAGCGGTTTCGTCGCTGCATCGTCTGGTCGAATGGCTTGCAGTGGTATGTCCACCAACCCGACTGCCCCGTTCAAACGCACCGCCTGCAAGGTCGACAGAGGGAGGGGTCCTGGCAATCAGCAGGCCATCCATCCCAAGCACCGTTTTCGCTCTCGACTCTGCCAAGCACCCATTTCGCTCTCGACTCTGATGCAAGGTCATCGTGCGCACCTCTTCCTTTGAAAGCGTCTCGGTAAAGTTGTGATTCTTGAGATAGTCGGCAAGCTCGGAGATCGAAGGTGGCCATTCGCTTCGATCGAGGCTATCCACAAAGATGCCAGCTCTCTTGAGGTTGTTGAAGCGGTACTTGCGAATGGCCGCTTTGTTGTGGGAGCTTGTTCTGCTGCTCGACCCGCTGCTCGACATGCTCGAACATGGACAGAGGGGAGCAGCGCTAGCCTAAGCAGAGCTCCGGTGTACTGGTGCCACTGAGACGGGCAGGAGTGCTAAGCAGCGGTGATGACGAGGCGTGAGTGGTGCAGAATGGAACAGTGGGGATGCATAGATGCGGACGCTAGTCGTGAGTGAAGCCAGACAGGTCGCCGCCTGTCATGTCGTGTCGTGTCGTGTCGTGTCGTGTCGTGACGCTGGTGCCGACTTCGTAGCAACACGTGTAATCCACGCGATTCACGATTGTGATTGAGAAGGCTCTGAGGGTGATGCCCGTTATAGGCGGTTGCAGCTGTGTGTGACTCGTTCAAGATTCACGATTGAGATTCGAGATTGTCGTAGTCATGATGGACTGACTGAGTTATCGCTGCACGCGTGCATGAGACGCGAGATATGCGCGCGCCCGCTCGCTCGCTCGGCCTTTACTCACCACTCACGACAGGGACACGTGACGAAAGCTGACGACTCGACTCGTAATTTTGATGATTCATGATTCAAATTCAGATTCAAGATTGTGACTCAAAACTAGAATCAATCAGAATCTTGAATCGAAAACCTTGAATATGCGGGTCCTCGCATAACGCGTGCCTCTTGAATGGTCAATTAATTCTTGGAAATTGATCAAAATTGTGATTAGCTTTTGCTTGACCATGCATGCTGTATGCACAGCCGACGCGGTGGCGAGCGCCTTACACTAGGCTCCAAAATCTCATTCAAATCGTCGTTTTGGCCTGCTCCTCATCAAGAACTTTTCAGACTCTTGACTCAAGACTCGCGACTTCTGACTTCGACTTTTGACTGGTGTCTGGTGACTTTCTCTGACTTTGCATCCAGACATTCAAGAGTCATTTGAGTTGCCGCTCTCGATTCTGCGTTCGCAAGTCATGCCCTGGGCGTTGACAACTCGTGGTTGCCAGTCAAAAGACAACATTCAGATTCTTGATTGTGATTCGAGATTGGCATCGTAGTCTTGTGCCAAATTTGAAAAAGATCATTCATATACATCCTACTTCAAGGGCTCACTGATCAGCCGGCGACGGAATCACGATGACAAAGCCTCGCATTTAGAGTGACACATATCAAAGAAATGACGTCCAGTGCGCAAGGCTAGATTTAGTTTCCTACGTGGGAAAGGCCGCGGAGCAGACGATCGTCAAGAATGAAGAGTAAAGCGACACTTGGTCTCAAATCTTGCTTTCACATTGCGACCTCGGTGTGCACAGTACCTCGAGAGCAGGTTCTAAATACAGTCCGCTCAACCACCGCTTCCTGATTCATCAAGCAGCGCTCTTACGCCCTAAGCAATCTCTGGCCTTGACGAAAAGGGGTTCGCCTGATCAAGTTGGGGCCCACAGTCTTGGGCATCACGGAGGGCAACCCGTGCACGTCTTTGGATCGCATGTAGGGCAGTTGGGTGGCTTGCAAGTCTTGAGGAATTTGCAGCACAGCATGCAGGCGTTGCCCTTCGTCGGTGGACCCTTGTTGTTCCCATTGTCCTCTTGTCTCTTGTTCACAACGTCAAAGGGCATCGAGACAATGTGGGAGCGCATGGCCAGCGGCCAGTCAATCCTCATCGAGACCCCTGATTCGCGTTTCTCGAGCGGCGGAATCTCGGGAGGGCAGCCATTGCAGTCGTCGGCACCGCACTCGACGCATGGTCCTGTGCCAGCCATACAGGCTGCGCGCGTAGCACAGCAGGGATTGCATGCTTTCCTGGGTAGAAGATTGACGCTGGTCTCAACGGAGCGAGTCTCAGCCCTCGTGTGCAGCGAAAGGGAGAACGGCGGACAGCCCTTGCAGTCGTCGACGCTGCAGTTCACGCACGATCTTCCGTTTTTGAGGCATGTTTTCACCGTGGCGCAGCAAGGTTCGCATGCGCCCTTGTCAGAGGGAACAGGAGCAGCGTCGGTGCCGGCTTGACCCTTTTGCTCTCTCTTTCCTAGGGTGCTCACTTCTTTCGCAGGCTCCACAGGGGAGCGCAATTGACGGCGAATGTAATGGTGTGGGCAGCTTGTGCACTGGGACCACGCACAAGTATCGCACCCTTGCTCCACTCCGCAAGTCTGTGGCTCTTTGCAGCAAGCGTCGCATTTTCCAGCCCTGCGGAACATCGAAATAGCAAATTCTGCCGGGGTGCTGATGCTGGTCTCCTTCCTTGCCAGCTCGATGCTCGCGTCATCTGCTCCCACCTGAACAGTCTCGCGCTTGCGGGGCGGATGTCCCGGAGGGCAGCCCAAGCATTGATCGGGACTGCAGGCTTCGCAACTGTAGCCACCGCAAGCCAAGGGCGCCGTACAGCACGAGTCGCACTTGCCCGCTCGGCGGGAAAGAGGCAGGCCCAACGAGGCTGGAGCCATTGCGCTCTCGGTCCTACGCTCCAGAGCGTGGGCCTCACCAGCCGAGACGATGAGAGGTTCGCGACGACGGTGAGGGGGCTTGGGAATGGGGTTCGACTTGGGGCAGCCCGCACACTGCGCTCCACTGCAGGTGCCGCAGGCTTGATGAGCGCTCTCGCCCTGAGCGCAAACGGGATGAGTAAGACAGCAGCCCATGCATGTTGTTCCTGCCCTGCGGAAGAGCGAGAGACCAAAGGCAGTCGGGCTCGGCACAATGTCTGACTTGGGGTCCAGCGAATCGGATTTGCTAGCGTCTTGAAGAGGCTCGCGGCGCGTGATCTGGATGAGCAGTAGAAATGGGAAAAGTCAGAGCATCCAACTCCATGTGCCGCTCGCAGTGGCCGGGAAGTAAGAGAAGGACGCAGTACACATACGCATCGTGCAGTGGCCGACTCGCCTTGATACCGTGAACAAGATCAGCACGACTTACCAGAGAAATAGATTGCTGACCGTCGTGCAGTCCTACATGCGCACTGCGCATCTCGAGGGCTGAAGTTGACGAGGCGGAGAGCCAAGCGCACAGGACGGCAGCCAGCAGTAGAGCAGGAAGCGCAGAGCTCGAGAGGGACCAGTGTCCGCGGCTATACTTGTTGAGCGACATGTTGCTCCTTCAAACGCTATAGAGTGCGAGGGTGTGCGAATGTGGTTGCTGCTGCAAGCAAAGCGTGGCGATCAGCGAGGGTGTCGGAATTTGGTTCAGTGCTTAGCATGGACCGCCATGTCGTAGCTGGACCACTCACCTTGGAAATGTATGCACTTTGTATGCTTGCAATGAGCTTGACCCTTGCTGAGCCGCCTATGAGGATAAGTGAGCTGAGGAAATCATGTGTGTCTTGCTTTGAGAGGCCATTCTCGACGCGAAATGGCGTTGCTTTTATACCGGACCTCATTATCCTGACCTCGTATGCGAGCCTCGCCGCTCTTCTACTGGCCGAATCACCTAACCACGCTGTGTAGCCTTGGCGCGAAGAACTAGTGAACTTGACAGCGAGGGCAGAATCTGAGGGCAGCGGACTTTGAGTCTGCGTCGCACTCCCGACCATCCTACTTGACGCCGTCTGGCAGGCTGCGCACAGTGCCTCCGTCAGTGTGCGGGACGTTGTGGTACCTTGATAGTCCCGCAAATCTGTGAGCGAGGCGTGGGCATAGGCGAGCAAGAGTGAGCTTGCATCCGTGCTGACCTTGTGAACCCTGGATGCACTGACCCTGAAGCGCTGGCGCACCCCGCTCAAGCCGCGCATCTGGGCGTATGGGACCCAATCACGATGTAACGAGTCCAATTGGCTGAAGACGTTCCCGTCGGGAGGAAACATCCGAAGCAGCCATGCAGTGCTGGAAAGCTTTGTTAGAGGCACTCCGCGACACCATGACTGAGCAGCGCTCAACGTTCCCGCGATCATCATCTCGTGCGCCCGCTAAGCATTTGCGAGACCCGAGTGCAGCGAAAACAGCACGTTCGTCAATGCTTAGTGACCCTCCGTGTGGCGACATTGATTGGAGGCCAAGCGCTTTTGTCTGCGCATCCCGTGTCATCGTGACCACTCTCGCGCGCGTTCCGGGCCCTCGAAGGGAGGCGAGGCTGTGTTGATTCGGGGAGCGTGCCACACACCTAGGTATTATCGCGCAGCCTCATGACCCTTATTCCACCCAGCTTTGATACCGAGTCATGGCGATCGATTGGTAGTGCCGAGCATTACAGGTGTTATTGTCGGAGCGTTCAATCACTCGGTACGCGACCTCACACGCACTTGAACGCGCCCCCGCTTACCCCAACGTGCTGATCTCCCCTTCCGGTACAGCAAGCACCGCTCAACATATCCCCGCACACCTCGACTCGTACGCCGAGTGTGAGGGCGCTTACTGAGGCCACAAGTCGCGGTAAAACTGCAGCGCCAGAGACCGGGTAAGTCTTAAGACAAATCTTTACGCCTTGGATCGACACGCGAAGGTTCATGTTCAGGTCTATGCTCACCTTTGGGAAGACTTCCGAGGCGAGACCAGGTACTGCCGCTAGAAACTCTTTGAGGACCGGGTTCTGGCGATGAACCTGATGACAAAGTACCACACACGTAAGCAGAGACTCGACATCGCGGCTGAAGCTGAAGGCGCACCTCGAAAGCTTCGAGCCCAGTGTAGGCTTCGTATATGTTGAGGTAATTTGAATCGTGCACCCCGCGCGAAAGGCGATACTGCGGGCAGAAACGGCCACGGGGCTCAATCGCCAACAATACCGCAAAACACCGCGTTCGCACCTCGAAGCTCACGGTAGTGGTGCCGGGTTCCTTGTCGGACAAGGCGACCTTGGAGATCTCGGTAATGTAGCGAACAATCTCTTTGGCGCTGTCTTCGTTGCGAGCCACGATGCTATATCAGAGATCGGGCGAGAGCTCGATAGCGTGAGTGGTGGGAGATGCGAGTGTGCGAGCAATTGTTGGGCTGCAACACTCACGTCACTTCCACAATGAAGGGACCGGTCGTGGGCACCGCGCCTGCGGGGGAGAATGTCTCTCAGCATCGCTCGACATTTCGCGACTGGATCAGTCCTACCGCAAGTGGAGCGTATAGACTAACTGAGATCATCCTTGGCAAATGACATGGTCGGCTTGGCTCTGCTGTGCGAGAATCCGGCTATCTCGACGTTCTCGGATGGTGAAGGTCCAGACGAAGCCTCTGCGCATGCCCATCCATCCAAATGCCACCTTGCTCGCGACTCCAAGCAGAGAGCAGCGAGTGGAGGGCGGCTGCATTGCGGATAAGCTGACGTCGCGGGCCTCTTCCTAGCGCATTGCGTGCATGAACGATGCAGTGCTTGGCATCAAATTTCGGTTCTGCGTCCTCAAGCCGCTCACCATTCTCTATCCGCTCCGGTGACCACACCCTACCGCGCCTCTGAAATCTAGATCCAAGTTCACCCATTGTTCTACATCCCACGCGTCCCTTCGACGTCCCCTGTCAGACATTCGCCGCCACTTCGATATATTTCGCCTCAGGTGTGCACTAGGATACATGGCCGAGGATGGCACAAGGCTGACACATCTCAGAAACCAGTGCGTGTACGGCTGCAAATATAGGTTTATCCCGTGGAGAGGAGGATCTTGCCCACGCGACGAGCAGAGACGGCCTGATGAGCCGCTGCTGCTTGGTTGAGCGGGAAAATCTGAGCGATTTTGACTTGGAATGAGGTGGACTGGATGAGATTGTTGAGCTGTCTCATTGCAGGCTGAGCAATGGCTGGATTTTCATTGTAGTTGGTCAAGTCGTAGCGTTGCAGATGGACGTCTGGACGAGGCTCTGGCTCTGGCATCACACCCAGCGGATAAGCCACGTGTCCACCTTTTCGAACGCCGGCGATGGTAGCATCCAGGCTTGCCCCTCCCACGAGCGCCAACGCAGCATCGACACCACCCGGTGCGAATTGCTCGACTGCCGCGGCAATGTCAGCGGTTTTGCCGTCGATGGCCGCATCCGCTCCAAGCTCTCGAGCCAGCGCTACGCCATCTTCGCCCGACGCAATGGCGAGGACGCGAGCTCCCAAAAGCTTGGCTAATTGTACGGCGACCTGACCCGTATCGCCGCTGGCTCCACTGATGACGATCGTCCGTCCAGACTGCACCTGCAGCTCTTTTGCCAGTCCAACGAGAGCCGTGAGAGCGATGCTGGGCATCGCACCAGCTTGGTCGAGCGGCAAGCCTTTAGGCACCGGCGAGACGGCCTGGGCATCCAGGACGATGTACTCGGCGTAGTGACCCATGCCCATCGAGTAGACTTGGTCGCCTACCGCAAATTGGGTGACGCCTATGCCCACTGCAGCGATCGTTCCGGATCCGTCTGATCCTATGATGTACGGAAAGTTCGGCGCATGGCCAAAGACTTGTGCGAAGCCGCCTTCGCGAACGAAAGGGTCCCAGGATGCCACGCTGGCAAAGGCAACCTTGACGAGTACTTGACCGGGGCCCACGCTGGGCACAGGTAGATGCGCCGGCTCCAGCACATCGATTCCGCCAAATTTGCGAATAACGATGGCGTTCATTTCGCGAGGAATGGACGACATGATGGATGTGTAACGAACGGGCTCGATGGGAGGTGAGAGGGGTTTCCGCAGTTGCAGAGAAGCTGATCGCTGCGTCACGATCGGTCTCGGGAAATGTTCGAGGCCGCCAAGCGACCTTTACATACCTTTCCTTTGACCTTCACATCCTTGGGATACGGGTCCACATTGCTCTTGAGCACGGCCCGACGCCGACTTGAGCATTTCGCTCTCGGTGCAGAAGGGCGCGGTCGCAGCGGCACGGCAGGCAAGGATGCCGTTCAAATGGAACGGAATGGGTGATCTTGCTCGACCATAACCCCGCAGTTGCAAATCAGACATTTGTGCACAGTAGCCAAGCAATGACGACAAAGCCACAAGGCACGAACCTGCTGAGTGGGACGTGCTGAATCAAGCCTTTGGAAGAGATTCCGCGATCGTCACATTATGGGCGGCCCCGCAAGCTTGACCTCTCTGCTCGGAGTTTCCGCTTTCGGAGATGAGCGTGCGCTCCTTTGGTGGCATCCGCGACCGCAACTCGACAAGTCACAATCACGAATCGTGAATTTGTATGTCGGAGTTACTCCTCGGAGCCTCGGCGAATCGGCGCAAACATGACGCATGTGACCCGCTTGGCACCGCGATTCGCTTCGCGTTTCGCACGCACGCACGCACGCACGTACGCACTCGTGCACTCCCCGCTATAGCCATCGCCCTCGCCCGGTCTTGGCAGATCGGGCCACACAGCAGATTGTTATCCACCATCGGGCCCGGGCATTATCAGCTACACCCGATCAAGGGAAGATCGTGCTCGCTCTCGACTCTGTGGCACGCTCAATGTGAATTGCCAGCCAGATTTCTCTCCCTCCAATCCATCACACTCACGACTCGTGCGTGTGCTGTGCCAAATGTGCACGGACCGCCAAAGCCTACCTTTCATGCACTCTCATAATTCCGCCGGAGGTGAAACGTCCAGGTCCATCCATCGCATCGCATCGCATCGCATCGCATCGCGTTCACTGCGTTGCGTGGTTGAAAGGCAAAGTGATGCTCCGTGCTGCAGCGATCGTCCACATAGCCGTGACTGCGACTCTTCCACCCGCACTCGTGACTTGCAAATCGCACGTCCGAGTCTCAAGTGATCGCAACGCGTTCGTCACAGATCCTATCAAAGCCTTGGTTGCTTCGCGATGACGTCCCAGTCATCAGCACACGATCCATTCACCTACCTCTCCCGCGGTCGCTTTCATCGCTCCATCCCTTGTGCGCGCACGTCCAGCCGCGTCTCCTTCGCGCTCGTTGGCGATTGGGAGACGCACGCCAAGACGGGAGAGGATGCAGATCTAATCAAGAGTGACTTGCCTCAACGCTCTCGTCTGACGCTCTACGTTCCCCCTTCTGGCTGTTCGCGATGGATGGGAATCATACTGGACGGTGTGGCGCGACAGCGTGGTATTTGCATGGTCGTACCGGACAGGCCCGGGGTAGGCGCCACACCTGCCGTTCCATCTCACTCCAGAATGCGAACCTCGACACAGCAAACACTGTCGATACTAGAGGCGTTGGGAGTGGACCAAGTGGACCTCTTTACCCATTCAGGTGGTTGGCTGTACATGCTCGACTTGCTCCGGACTAGACCTGAGCTCATCATCCCTTCTCCCTCGGGCCCAGCTTCCAACCTCATGCTTTGCTCGCCATTCGTACCTACGCACCTCTCTTCATCGAGTCTCGGTCTTCTCCCCGCCAGCCTGGTGCGCATGACACCTTCCGCCGCAAACTTGTTGGGCAGCTGCGAGAAAGCCATCACCTGGTCTGTTGGCGTGGGACAGAACGCCAAGAGCATGTGGGGTCACAAAGAGACGCCAGAATCTTTGCATGCTTCCAAGCGCGACCAACTGAAACGTGCAGCCCGAGAGAGGGAGAAGAGCAAGAGGACTCATCCCAACGCAACCTTTCATCCGCCCTACACCACTCATCTAGACCTCGAATTAGACGCCGCTGTGGCCGAGCATTTGCTTGCCGGCGGATCAGCGCGCAAGCCGCAAAGCGGAAGCAAGCTGCTGTTCGAATGCTACATGGCAGAGTCGGGCATCGAGACGACTACGCAAGAGTTCCTGTTCTGTCTAGGCAAGACGTCTGGCATGAACAATGCAGAATTGGAGACGTGGCTAAGCGCCAATTTGCGCGAGCTTGCTCGCCTATTGAGGTCTCGCACAAAGCGTTGTTCTGACACGCCGAATGGCGGAGCACCGACCGCGCCACCCCGATTGCTCCTCGTGTGGGCAGACCAAGATTTCATGACTCCACAACGTGGGCGCGACCATCTCGACGATTTGCTGCAACGGACGGGACTTGCAGGAGCATGCTCTTCCACACACCGATGGATTGCTGCAGGAGCCGGGCACGACGATCCGCCAGGGTCCTTGGACATTATGCGTGGCGTCTTTGCCTTCTCAAAAGGCGAGAGCGAGATATCGGCGCTGCGAGCGGCCCAGACACCGGCGCGAGCTGAATGAATTGCTGCCCACAGAGGTGGGATTTATTGGCGCTGCGAGCAGCCCAGACATTGGCGCAAGCTGAATGCATTGCTGCCCACAAAGGCGCTCCCAATGAACGCCGTGCCTGCGCATCTTGACACTCGCAATTTGTAGTGTACACCAAGGCCGCGCTAGCCCGAGCCGCGCATGTTGAGATTGTCCGGCTAGTGCTGTGCTGGATTACCCTACCGCCTCTTCTCCCCCCTCACTCGCCTTCTATACCGCTCGGCAAAAACTCCCTCATCTTCGTGGTGCACTGCAATGGCGTTTTTGTGGAAGCGAAGAGCTGGCTTTCGAAAACCTTTTGAGCTTCGCTGGTCTGTTACATTGGAGGGCGACATGCGGGAGGCGCGTTCATGTCAGTCCCATCGAGAGCGCATACATCCCACCACCGTGCTACTAGCCTCGACTCACCTCTTCCGTCTTCCACGCGAGCTCGATCCAGCTCTCCGCCTCTGCCTCGTGCTGAGTCCTCATAATGTTCTGCTTCGTATCCTCTCCCGATCGACTGGTCACATTGACGATGCTTCTCTTCGCCGCAGCCGCGCTTGCGGAACCGTTGCCTTTGCCAGCCGCACCAGCCGCACCGCCCCCGCCCTCGCCTCCCGAATCGTCCTCCTCGCCTCGATCGGCTTTGGCTTCTTTGCGGGCTTGCACATCTAGTCCATCTAGATAGTGCATCGAGGGGCGCAGCTGAAGTACCGAGTCCAGGGGGGTGAGATGGAGAGCGCCTAGGAATAGGGACGGCAAAGCGGTGTCAGTCAATGGCCCGAGATGACCACTTGCAGCGTTTGGCTTGCATGTATGCGCTTTGCACGCACCATCACGAATGACCCCGACCATGTACTTGGTCTGGTTGGGCACCAAGGAGCTCTCTAATCGCGTCCTCTCCAACCTCTTGATCTTCGCAGGCTCTTCCTTTTCCCTCTTCACCTTGACTCGCCTTTGATCATCGCCCATCGCAGAGCTACCAGCGCTCGAATCCTTTCCAAACGTGCCGCCATGCTCCGCGCCCATCGCCATATTCTGCCCCTTGTCCATGTTGTACACTACGGGACGCAGATCTAGCGGCAGCTCCACCTCGACGCGATTCGCCTTGGGCCTCCAGCGAGCCGCTTCGGAGAGACCCCTTGAGCGTGCCGAGTCGGGGATTGGCAGAGGTTGACCGCGCGGATAGGTGGGGTATTGGAAGAGCGAGAGACGAGAAGATGCGGGAAGGGAAGAGGAGAGATAGACGGGCAGAGATGCCAAGAGGGAAGGGTCGCGCGACTCTTCTTCTTGCCGAAGAGACGCTTCGGACTTTTTGGGCGATGATAGGGACGATTTCGGTGGAGATGTTGGCGCAGCTGCTGATGCGGATGTCGAGGATGAAGCTTCTCCTGCTGCTTGCCGGAGCATGTCTGCCGCGGCCCCCTCACCCACGTTCATCTCGCTCTCCGAAAGTGCGCGATCTGGGGAAGCAGAGATGTTGCTGTCGGGTCGACTGATGGGAGTACCTTTGCGCTGCGATGATGCTTTTGCTCGAGACCCGCTGCTCTGCCCAGCATGCTCCGGGGAGGTGGAACGCACGTCCATAGACTCATCCTCCTCTCCACCTCTGAACAGCGGTTTGGAAGGCATGTTGCGCACGGAAAGCCAGACTTGGGGCTCGTGACTAGGCGTGTACTAGTGGAGTATTGCTCGAGCTTGGATCAGGCAAAGAGGTCGAATCGTGGTGCAGAGGAAGGTGTGCGTGCCTCCCACCCACTCGCGAAGAGATTAAGAAATCGCGAGTCGGAATTCAAGATTTTGTTTGAATGAATTCACGTGACGTCTTGAGAATCAAGAATCATCATGCAAGCGCTGTTGTATGGGCGTGCACGCTTGTGCAAATGTACAAAATAGCAAGCAGCAGCCAGTCAAGCTATACCGCACATCATCGGCGGGCGAGAAAAAGTTGCGCGAGTGAAGGGCCTCCCTCAGTGGGGCGCGTACACGGCTTCTCGCCCCGCACCTGCTCGAGAAGCGCATACAAATGATATGATGCTGGTGATGATCCGAATTAATCTTGAATAAGAATTCAAGGATTCCATTTTCGATTCTTGATTTTTGATTCACAAGCTTGACACCCTTTATGATTGATCCTCTACATTCTGATTCGTGATCACATGCACTCAAGACTCATCAGATGTTGTTCGGCGTGCATCAAGCAACCATTTCTTCAGCTCGAGCCTTGCACAGCTGCTATGCGTGCGAGACTCGAATAGTGACTTCTCAGCTTTGCTGCACCACATTCGCTGCCTTCGAGCATACCCATACAGCCAACATTCTTGATCATCACATCCCTTCAATCGCGAACCCCATCACTCACCATCAGAAGTTCGTGCAGCAGGCGCGGCTCGGGTCAAAGATGTACAAGTATCATGCCGCAACATGCGCATACATTGGGTGATCTCTACTCGACCAGCAAAGCACTGGCTGTCTCATTGTCCTGCCCGCCGCATCGTAGGCACCTCGTCCACATTTCTGGCCCCCGCTCACCGCCGCTCATCTTCCCTCCCCTTTGCCACTTCGCACCCGCACCCCTCATTCTCCCTCTCCCTCCCCCAACCTAAACTCCTCCACCCTGATCCTCGTCAGCGTCTGCTTGTGCTGCACCGTCTTCTTGTACCCTTTGCGCTTCTTGAACTTGACAATCTTTTCCAATGCGCCCTTTGTATGTTCCAGCACTACGCCCCTGATCTGGATCGTGGATGGAGAAAGCGTCGCTCCGACGTGTGCTAGTCCAGCTGGAAGCAAGCGTGCGGCCCACGACGTCTTGGACTGCACCAATCTGCTACGATTCGCCGCGTGCACGTTGGTCTCGTCCGCACCTGCGCCCAGCGTAGGAGTTGTGATATCTTCGAGGGACAAGTTGCCGGGGTACAATTCCGCTCCTTGTGCAGGCACGGCAGCCTGGTTCGCATCCATCGGCACGGCTTGCGAGCCTTGTTGTAAGCCCTCAAAAGGTCTGCTTCGTCGACTCAGCACGGCCTCTCCCCTGCTCCTCGTATTGAGCGGATCTTGAGCCCTAAGCGTGAAATCTCGACTGCCCAGCTCGTGCACCCTCTCCAATCGCATCACATCTCCTACCTGTACATCCAGCAGGCGAGGTAGCGTGATGATGTCACCTGGTCTGACGAGCAGCGTCCGACCGACGAGAGAGAGGACGGCATAGTGCGACGGCTGAGTGCGCAGCAAAGAAAGTGCGGAGCGCGTAGAGGTGATGGATGAGGCGTCTGCTGTAGAAGCGGAGAGGGCGTAGCTGGAAGGCGAGACTGGAACGTAGGATGACGCGTTGGAAGTGGAAGCGGTGCTGGCTGGTGCTGATGCTGATGCTGGTCGTGCGACGCTTGGCGAGTGGCAGAAAGATCGAACGGCTCCAGCATTCACACTTGCACTCGCACTCGCACTCGCGCTCGCGCTGCCCGCGCGTGGCAGCAACAAGGAACCTACTCGAGATGCAGACATTGCTTCAAGGATTTGAGGGAGCAATCCTAGCGAAGCTGTTTGCAAGCAACGAGTGTGGCCTTGACTACTTTGCCCGTTGCTGGACCTGTCTGCACGCCAATAAACAGCTTGGATGTTCAGCAGAGGCGCGGAATGAGGCCCGAAGATCTGTACGCTAGCGCTTGATGCCAGATGTGATCGTCGAGAGATTGTGCTAGTCCTTCAAGCTGTCATTGAAGCCTAATCAGGTGGGATACGAGTGGTGAGGGGTGAGTCTAGACAGCATGATCCCGAGAACGGTGGGGGTCCACCAGGTCAAAATCAGACGTAGCGCTCATCCCTGCAAAGTGTCAAACACATCACGTGAATGTGTAGACCTTTGCAGACCCACGTGGCATTGCGCCAACTCCGCAAACGTCCGCGGACATTCCTAGCTTTTCTGATGCTTATCAGCATTCGCGACTCGTGACTAGGCGAGCGCGCGCGGGCATGCAGGGTCGCGTGATGATGTGTGCATTCAGTCTTGAGTTTGCACTCAAGATTCCTCGCTATCATGTGCCCCCCCCCCCTCATGCATGCGCGTGCCTGACCCGCGATTGGCCGCTCATGTGTAGTCTTGAGTCCGGTTGCTGATGCGTGAGTCAAAGTCAGACTGTAGTCGGCAGCGTGAGTCACGGGTGCAGAGTCGCGAGGCGAGTGTGGATGGCGTGAGAGGGAGGAGGAGCTTGTGGGCTGATGAGCGCGCTCCGATAAAGAACGGAGGGAGGAGGGCAAAGCTCTCACGCCGTGCGCGTGATGCTGCAGCTGTTGCTGATGTGGGGGAGGGCGCCGCGATGGGTCCGATAAGCTGGTCTATGCGTACGTGTGGCATGATCACACGTCGCTGATGTCTGTGTCTGTGTCTGTGTCTGCATGATATGGGGCCGATGTGCTGTTATGCCGTTATGCTATTTACGCCTGCTATCACGTATCACGTATGTGCGAGTCTCCTCTCAGTCGGTCCCACAGCTCACAACGGGGGGAAAGGGGTGGCATGAGCGCGTGAGCGCGTGAGTGCTGCATGGTGTGGTTGCATGCTACATCCGCTTGCAGCCCAAGGCCTACGTGTCGGGCACCCCTCGAGTCACTCTGGCAGCAGACGTGTTGCGTGACAAGTGTTGGGTGCTGTATGCCATCAGCACCTCTTGCCTGTCCACCCCCATCCATAACCTCCTCTCTCTCTCTCTCTCTCTCTCTCTCTCTCTCTCTCTGTCCAGCAATCGCCTCGGTCTCCTTCAAAAGCTCGAAGCTTCAAGAGCGCGTATAGAGCGCATACACCCTCCATTTATCCACAGACGTACATCACTCTCGGGTCCCCTCCTTCAAGCTCGCACAGCATGGGTTCCTCCGCCTCCAAGCCTCTGCCCGCTTCGGGTGAGATGAGCGAGAAGAGCGCAGCAACGCAATCCTTGGAGCGTCAATTGGGTCGAAGTGGTCGCGCAAGTGCTCGTCCAGACGCTTCGTTGAACTTGCATCACTCGACGGACAGATCCTACAAGATCCAAGCTTCTCGTCTTGTTGCGCACACGGCAGCGGCGCCGCAGCAAGAAAGCGCTCGGGATGCAGGCAAGGCCAGCAGCAACATCACCCCTACACTGCTGCAGTATTGGTCCGACACGGCGCTCAAGACCACATCGGCCAAGTTGGCTGCAAGGACGCTGCACAATGAACAGCTAGCGCTGGCTCTTAGAGACAGAAGGACGGAAATCGAGATGGGCAACCACGTATTCAACGTCAAAGTGGATCGTGAGTGGCGAAACGGAGTGGCATGTATTCGCACCTCTGCTTGGTGACTGACTCGGAGGGTACTGCCTTCTCCCTTCCCCCCCCCCCCTTCCCCTCGCCTGATCATTCCTCATAGTGGAGGGCACGCCCGTGTGCAACCAAAAGTGAGTGCATGCGAAGCAGGGATGGAGAAAGTCACGCGCTTGGCAAGCCCATCGCACGCGCAATGCCTGATCACCCAGTGCCATCCTGCCCCACCGCACCGCACCAGATCGTCTGGACGCTGCTGGCTGTTTGCTACGCTCAACCTGCTCCGCGTGCACGCCATGAAAGAGTACGATGTGCCCGCTTTGGAGCTTTCGCAGAGTTACCTGCACTTTTACGACAAGTTGGAAAAGGCCAACACGTTTGTGAGTCGGAACGAACGAGTCGATGCGGTCTGCGTGCAAAGCTGAACAGCCTTGCTGTTGTTTCTTGCGTCTGGTTCATACCCAGTTGGAGAACACGATTGACCTCGCATCCGAAGCGCTGGACAGTCGTCTGTACGGATACCTCAAGGGCGACCCGGTCAACGATGGAGGCCAATGGGACATGGTGGTGAATCTTTTGCGCGTATACGGTATTGTGCCTCAGGTCATCTTTCCAGAGTCCTTCAACAGCAGCAACAGCGACAAGATCAATTGGTTGGTCACTTTTCAGCTGCGGCAATTCGCTCTCGAGCTGCGCAGTCTCATCTCTCAGCTGCGATCCCAAGAAGGTGGAGCGCGCAGCCTGTCACCTGCGTCGGAACACAGCATCGTCCAGCAAGTCAGGCTCACAAAGGAGAGGCAGATGAAGAAGATTTTCGAGATACTGACGATTGCGAATGGAGCTGCACCTCCTAGTCCGGAGCAAGAGTTTACATGGCAATATTATGATTCCAAGGGCAAGTATCAGGAGAGACGTTTCACGCCCAAGAGCTTTCTGCAGAGCTTGAAGAAGAGATTCGATCTGGACAATGCTTGCAGCTTGGTCAATGATCCGAGAGCAGAGGAGCAGAAGGTCAGCTTTGCGTGCTTTGACGAGCGGTGTGCGTCAGCGCGAGCTGATCTATCCCAACCCTTCACTACCTCCCTTCCTTCCCTGAATCTTTTGTAGCTCATCACCATCGATAGACTGCAGAATGTGTGGGGCGCGCGTCCCGTTAGCTACGTCAACACGAGCAGCCAAGTCATGAAAGGTGAGTGGCGCATCCAACCAAGTACTTTTTGCCCAATGCCACAATTGCAAGTCAGCCTACTGAACACTGGTGCTCTTCTCGGGATCACAGAGAGCGTGATCAAGTCCCTTCGCTCCAACCAAGCCGTCTTCTTTGGCTGCGATGTCGGCCAATTCTCGCACACGGCGAGCGGTGTCATGTGCCCCTCGTTGTACCAAACTGGAGTGGAAGAGGCATTCGATATTTCCCTCAACTTGAGCAAGGCGGAGAGGCTGCAAATGGGAGAGAGCCTCATGACGCACGCGATGGTCATCACTGGCGTCCAGGTCGACGCAGATGGCAAGCCGACGCGGTACAGAGTGGAGAACAGCTGGAGCGAGACGGCTGGTCAAAAAGGGTGAGTGCCTGTATGCACTTTTCATCAGAGCAGCCGAGCACGCCAGACTAATGCGATCCCGCCGTACGCGCGCGCGCGCGCGCGCCCTCAGATACATGATCATGTCTGATGCGTGGTTCGACCAGTACGTCTTCCAAGTCGTCGTCCGCAAGCAGGATATGCCCGCCGCCTTGTGGCAGCTCTTCGACGCGGGCGTCAATGAGGAGACCATCGTGTACCCGCCTTATGATCCTTTTGGAAGTCTCGCTTGAAGAAGGATATGGTCGTGTGCGAAAGAAACGGAGAAAGGAGGGGAGGAGCTGGGGATCATGCGCTCGTACACGTCACGTATACACTGATAATGCAATACAGTAGACACACTCTTTCCTTTGTCTCCAATGCGGCGCGCACGTCTAGCTCTGATTACGCATATGCTCATAGAGATACAGCACGCGGTGCGAAAACTTTTTTTTTTCGGCTCAGCAAAGTGACTTTTGGGAGCTCAAATCTGACCCCTGATGTTGAGCTCTGTGCGATGAGCAGCTGCAGCTTGCAGGTGATGGGCGAATGACCAGACTTTGGATTGATGAGGAGTGAGCGGCTTGTCGGTCAGCTGCATGCGGGAGGTCACGAGCGAGCCGAGCAAGGGCAAGAACTGTAGCGTGTCCCGAAGGAGGGGAGAAGGTCGCGAAGCACGCCGTTTGTCAGCGAGTTGCGAGAGGTGCGTCCAGCTGCGGGCCATGGGCAAACGTTGCTGCGAACACGCTTTTCGCTGCTCACCTTGAAGGCGTGTCCGCTGTCTGCGCAGCAGACGACTAGGCCGCGCGTGCCTGGAACGTGATCTATCAACCACTCTTCATCCACCGAATCGCTGTACCAGCATATCCTGCTCTCCACCACTTGCGCATTCCCTTGATCTGCCAGCTCTGGATAGAGGCCGTACAGCTCCTCGAGCATCTTCTCCTGCTTGTCCGCGGGAACGAATGTGTTGGAGGCGCGCCGCTCTGAGGAGGAGGGAGAGTCATCCGCGCCCGCGCCGCTTTGCCCTTGCGCAAAATTGGGATAGGATGATTGAGGAGCGCAAGGAGGCTCGGGGTACGCATAACCCTCCCCATGTATGGCGCACTTCAAGAGCCCCTCCTCGTTGGGTTCGAAAGCGTAAAAGCCAGTGTCGAAATTGATCACTACGGGAATGTCCTTCATCCGGCGTCTCAACTGCGCATTCTCGACGCGAAGAAGCAAGACGCACTGAGCTGAAGAGGTGCTTGGCGGTCGTTGAATCTTTTGGGGCAAAGCAGAGCGCAAGAATTTTGTGCTCCAGCTCCCAACGCAGCAAATGACGTGAGCGCTGCGATCGCTCGTTCGAACAATCCTACCATCTTGCAATCGGGCTCCGTAGAAGCGGAATTGGTCGTCGTGCAGAAGCTCGACGACATTGGCATTGCTCAGCACGCGCACACCCAGCTCTTTAGCTTGATCGAGCACGATGTTGGTGGCTTTTTGCGCTTCGGCCCAGCCTGCGCGCGGATTGATGTAGGCTTGCTGCGTCTTGCCGATGCCCTTTAGGCCAACGCCCAGCTCCAAATCAGCGGGAAACACGCTGCTGGTCTGCTCGTCAGAGGTGAGCTCGTAAGCGAGGCGAGGCAGAGGCGCAGGCATGGACGTGCCGATGCTTCCCGTCGTCTTGCCCGACTCGAGGGTCGCGCTGGATCGATCGGCGCGCTGAGAAGAGCTGCTCGGCCCCTCCTCTCGATGCGCATCCTTCAAGGCAGTCGACAATCCCCTTTTGACATACGCTTCTCCATGAGGATTCGACTCTCCCGAGTGAAGCAGCAATCCCACTTCATGGTAGCACTGGCTCAGCCCATCGTCTCTTCTCCAAAGTTCGATGGCCATCTTGGCTAATCGAGCATAATGTTCGTCCTTGTAATCCGCTCGGACTATCTTGTTGAGATCGTTGGATGCGGCATCGGGAGCGCAGTAGCCGGATGCTGAGCGATCCAGCACTGTCACGCTATGACCTAGACGCGAGAGTGCGAGCGCAGTGGATGATCCAAAGACGCCTGATCCGATGACGATGTGCCCGTGCACCACCACCTCTTCCTCATCGCCGGCTCGACTCGCCACAGCGTGCATCTTTACGATTCTCCCAGTCCCCTTGCGTTCCCTTTCGACTGTAGATGCGCTTCTCGCGGCGCTACAGCACTGCTTCTCTTCTCCAAGTCTGGCGCTATGGTAGCCTGGAAAGAAAGAATCATGTGGGCGCAAGTTGTGAGGCGGCCGGGAGGGAGAACAAAAACTCACAATTGCCCCGTGCGACCAACGTTGTACAAGCTCGAAACTCCCCCCCCTCACAGCCGGGGTCCAACGACGCATTCCCCCAACTTTCTTGCCCCCATTCAGCTGCAGCATTTTCGCCCGCGCAATTCGGGTCAAAGTCGAACGTCGCGGGCGTGCAAAATCGCAGCAGTGAGAGCTGCTGCGTACTTGGTATGCCCATTGCACATGCATGCAATGCTCGATGCGCATCAATTCCAACGCTCATCGAGAGTAAGGCCGCGGCGAGCCGGCGAGCAGTCCGCCGGGGGAGTAGCCAGCGTCAACTCCCTCCACAGCGTCTGGACAGCTCGGCTCACGACGCACGACTGTACCATTGTGCGCTCCGACGTGTGCTTAATCAATCAGGTGAACATATTTCGTCCAAGGCATGATCAAGATAGAAAAGTGAGCATGTGTCACCTCAAGAGCACGGGGAAGAAGCGGCGCTATCGACAATTAGGGTTGCGTGAAGGCAGCCTGTGCAACCCGCGGACGCCTCGATTCGGGATCATCGATCGGCACGACACGACAGCACTGAAATCCCGAGAACCATGTGCAAAGGCCAACTTTTAGCGGGGCTAGAGACTGCGCGAAGGGGATTGCAGCAGCCCCGCAATCACATCAAAGGTGAAGGGGGGAAATGGAACAGGTCCGCAAGGGAGCACATTAAACATTACGAAAGTGACTGGATCATGTAGAAGAAGTAAGAAAGGCTTCCTTTGCAGCTTTGCAGAATGCCTGAATCTTGGCCGCATCCTTTCTACCATCCGTCTCGACGCCCGAGCTAGTGTCCAAAGCGAGCAGAGCACCCTCTCCCACAGCTTTGGCCGCCATCGCCACATTCTCCGCAGAGAGTCCTCCGGCAAGGATGAGCGGTTGTACTCTGGCTTTTGCGCCGGGTACTCGAGCAGTCGCAGCATCGGATCTCGCGAACCTGTTCGCGACGGCCCAATCAAAAGTTTGGCCTGTTCCGCCATTTCCACCGCTGGAACTGGATGCTGTGCCCGCCGTGTCCAGGGCAGAAATGTGATGGTAGCCAGGTCGGTTTGCTTCTCGAAGACTCGAAGATCCCGGCCCGTCATTGGGTCCGACGTGAAACACCCGAATGACAATCACCCCGGGCAGGTATTTGCTCCACTCCACCTCTTCCACTCTTCCGTGCAGCTGTACGACGTCCAATTTGAGAGCCGTGGCTGTCTGAACCACCTCGCTCAGCGGCTGATCTCTGAATACACCCGCAATCAGAGGCTTGTGCGGATGAGAGCGAATGAGATCTGCTTGGTACTCGAACCAGTCCTGTCCCGCCACGTGCGTCATCGCAGCAGTCAGAGCGTCAGATCCGACAGCGCCAGAGCCCGCAGCTTGGGCTTGAGCGTCGCTCAAGGCCTGCTTTGCCGTCAGACTAGACACGGCGCTCCTCACAGACTCTTGACCTCCTCGCAGGGATCTGACGACGTTGATGATCTCCGACGCCTGTGCTAATGGCACGGTCCGCTTGGTTCCAGGTGCTAGAATCATGCCCAGCATGTCTGCCCCTGCGAGCGTGGCAGTGACGGCAGCATCGACGGTCTGCAAGCCGCAAATCTTGACAAGCGGGGCAGAAGCGCTTGCTGATGCGTTTTGAACGCCTGCCCCAAAGGCCGAGATGCCGCTCGAAGGGCCTGCAGGAGCTTCTGACGCTAGCTGTGTAGAAGCAGCCGAATCAGGCAGACCAAGAAGATCGTGTATGAAAGCCCTCTTATCGGTGGCTCGCATCAGCGCTTCACCAACAAGCACCGCGCCGACCCCTTCCTTGAGGTACTTCTCCACATCGCCCCTTCCGGTAATGCCGCTGAGTGCGCAAAGCACCACGCCAGCTTCTCTAGCCTTTTCCGCCAATCTGCTGGTGGTACCCATATCCACATTAAAGTCGTGCAGGTTCCGATTGTTGACGCCAATCAATTTGGCTCCCAGCTTGATGGCTCGAAGCATCTCTTCGGGATTGTTCACCTCCACCAACGGCTCCATGCCTAGGCTCGTGCTCGCGTCGTACAGTGTTCTCAGTTGCGCATCCGTCAGCATGGCGACGATGAGCAGCAGGGTATCCGCACCAGCGGCGCGAGCCTCCAAGACCTGATAAATGTCCACGATGAAGTCTTTGCGAAGGATGGCTGGTCGGTCGAGCATTCCGTCTACGGATTTGCGCGCCAAAGTGAGGTCGTTGAGCGTTCCCTTGAACCACTTGGGCTCTGTCAAGACGCTGATGACGTTTGCGCCTCCTCTGGCGTACGCCATTGCCTGAGCCCCCGCGTGCGCATGCGGATCGATGTCTCCCTTGCTCGGACTAGCCCGCTTCATCTCCGCCATGACTCCTGGCAATCCTCGACTAGCGTTCGCAGTCAGCCGAGCAACAAAGTCGATCAGAGGAGGTGCGAGGTGCATGTCGATGTTGGTCGCTAGATCCCTTGGCGATTGTCCAGGCACTTGCTTTGCAGCTTCAATGTCCTTGAGCCTCTGGACGTGGATGCGCTCCAAGATTGTGCCCACTGCTCCGTTTGCACTGTGATTCGATGAAGACCCGTTCTGAGCTGTAGGGTTTCCGCGATTGCCATTAGCCGCAGCGGCGGCCACAGCTGCGGCAGAAGCAGCGGTAGCGGTAGCAGCAGCAGCAGCACCGGGAGCAGGAGCCCCAGCTTGAGTCATGGCCATGATCGGTTCCTTTGTGGCTTCAGCTTGAGCAATGGCCGCCTCGTCGATTCCTGCCTGTGGATTCTCTGCCCAAGCGCCTCCTCTGAGTCTCAAAAAGTTGGCAAACATTTCCTTTCCACCTCGACTGAGAATGCTCTCTGGGTGGTATTGCACCGCTTCGATGGTGTGCCTGGTATGCCTGATGCCCATCACCACCCCGCTCTCCGTCTTGCTCGTCACCACCAATTCTCGCGGAAGACTTGTGAGCTGAGCTGCCAGGCTGTGGTAGCGCGTGCCGACCACTGCGGCAGGCGACAGACCGGCATACAATCCGCGCCCATCGTGCGCCACTGCGCTGGTCTTTCCGTGCAGGATCTCGCCAGCGAACTCCACGACACCGGTGTAGGCAGAGTAGATGCATTGCAGACCCATGCACACGCCCAGTATGGGTATCCGACCTGCAAAGTGCTTGATCAGAGGGATGGAGATGCCAGAGTCGTGCAGCGGATGACCGGGTCCTGGCGAGATGACGATATTGACAGGCTGAACAGCTTCGATCTCTTCCAGCGTCACCTTGTCGTTGCGGTACACGATCAGATCCGCACCCAGCTCCGACAAGAACTGAGCCGTGCAAGGCAATGCGAATCAAAAAGAATAGAAGGGGCGGCGGCGGCGGCGGACGATGGGGCGGGCGAGGGAGAAATTTAGGCTTCTGTTTCGCATCTGTCATGCCACGTCATCGCCATCATCGCTCGACTCACCTCGACGACGTTGTAGGTGAAGGAATCGTAATTGTCGATGAGCACCGTCTTGCCCAAAGTGATTGCGCTTTGCCCTTGCGTTGCAGCTTGCATCTGATCTGCACCGACCAGCCCGTCGCTTGGCAGCGCTGCATCATTGGCGCTGGCGCTGGCACCGGCACCGGCACCAGGAGAGATGTACTCTGGCATGACAAAGGGCAGGTGCCTGTATGCGGTGACAGGCGGTCGGAGAGATGACGAGCGCAAATAGGATGTCGAGAGTGGCACAGCGACTCGGAATGGGGGAGCTGGTGGGTGCGCGGTGAAGGGAGAAATTCAAGATGATCAGCTTGACTCTGACTTGAGGCTTTTTGAGACTCTTGACTGGCGCGTGTGAGTCAGGCGTCGGTCTTCTCGACTCTGACTCTCACAACTCAGCGGCAGACTCGTTCGTGACTGTGATCATGACTGTGACTCAAGACTCAAAACTCTTGACTCGGACTCGGCCTGGCCTGCTAGCTGCTCTGCATGCCGCGACGCTGCCCACTGTGAGCTGCTGCGATGGCTGCATGCATGCATGTGGGTCGCGCTTCGTTGCGGCAGCCTAGCTACCGATTGGGCTGGTGTCGTGTCACGTGAATCAGAGTTCATGCCATGCCATGCCATGCCATGCCATGCAATCAAGAATCAAGAATCGTGAATCATCATCACGAATTTTGAATTGGATTATTCAAATTGAATTTGCTCACGACTCGACTCGACTCTTGCCCCAACTCGGTAAGGAGCAACAAAAATTTCGAATCTTGAATCTCGCTCGTTGCTTGTCCTCACCACGGCTTTCTTTTGGCTCTTGCAGGTCGAGACTCGTGCGCTCACTCGGAAGAACAAGCGCATACATACTGGACAGTCAGGGCAAAGGCGTGTGGTCGCACAGCGGGCACGCAAGTTGGCGGGGCAAGATGACAAGAGTGGTGGATGATGATGCTAGCAAGGAGGAGGGCTCGAGCGCACCTCTGCGCGCGCACGTGCACCTGCACCCGCAGCTGCCTCCCAGTCGACAAAGCCTCGTAAGTTGGCCCCCAGGAAAGCTCAAGCTCGAAGCGTTGTCAGACTGTGACGCTCATATGGGTCGGGCTTTGTAGCCCAGCGAGCTGCTCCGATTGGCCAGAGCTCATCCAGATCAAGCCGCCCCTCTGGTCCGTACGTGGGAAGATCTGCTCTTCGTAGGCAAATGGAAACATCTCCGACCGATCGATTTGAACGCTGCTGCTGCTCTCGCGAGCGCTTCTCATCCCGCACGCTCTCTCGCAGCGCTCGTGGGTCTCAGGGCGGAGCAGAATGTTCAGGAAGTCGTCTTGCCTTGCCACGTGCACCATGAATGGAGCGCCGAAGAGTGAGTCACTAGTCGACAAGCGTTTGCTTGCTTGCTAGCGCTACAGTTGGCCTTCTCGGGGGTCCAAGTCGCTGCCCTGCGCTGCATGCCGCAGCAAATTTTGAACTCGACTCGCTTGCCCACTTGCCCCAGCTTCACCCACATCTTTGCATCCACTCGACATCTCTCCGCATCGCCGTCGTCGACAAGCGATGCGCAAGCAAGCGCGGCGGCGGCGCAGTTGCAAGACGAGTCGAAAAGTGAAAAGGTGCCTCTGATCGCCCAGGAATATTTCTTGCTTGCGGTGCTGTCCAACGATTCGACGGTGGTGTACTACAAACTCGCCAGAGGTCTCGTCAAGCCTGTCAATTGACCAACATCATCTCTTATTGACTCTCGATGTGCTGTATCGCTCATTTCACGTGTATTTGTACGCCGTTGCCCCTCCGCGGGCCCCTTTGCTCGTGCCCGCCTAGCTAGGAATCAGACTCACGACTTCGAATCCAATCAAGACACAAATAATCGTGAATAATGATTCAGATTCAGATTGGATGGTCTGAAGAGGTGATGACGCGCGCACCAGACTCACGTGACTGTTCGTGTGTGACCTCGCGACTCACGACTGGTGGCTATTCAGCTCGACATCGTGCAACATGCAGCCTGCTGGCCTCCGGCTGTGTCGGACGCACGCCAGACACTCTTGACTCACACTCGAGACTAGTTTCAAGAACTTTTGAGCCTTAATTGCTGTCTTGCGCCGGGTGTTGGCGTCGCGGAGAGAATCTGCGTCTTGATTGCTGCACAGACATCACAGGTCGTGCGTGATGCTAGAGTCACCATGCAGTCTTGAGTGGCAGCATTCACGAGTCTGCTGGCCCAGCTCACGCCGAGACACCTCACCTCCTCGATCGAGACGAAAGGATTTCCCCATTCTGATTTAATTGTGATTGGTGTTAGCCATTCGTGTTTGGCAGCTAGGTTGCAGGTTCGAGATTCAAGATTCGATCTTTCACGTTTTCATCAAAGTCCATCATATTCACAATTTTGAATTGCGTGTGATCGTTGTCTCTGCTACACGACTCGGGACACTCAATCAGACTGTAGTGGTGCCTGGTGTTGCTCTCGCCTGTTCCCTGACTTTACAGCTCTGCATGGCGCATGCATGAAAGGCAGCCATGCAGCGTACACTCGTTTGACTCACCTGCATGCATGTGAACAAACGAGGATGGGCACTCGATCGAGATCAAGACCGCATGCCGCTCTTCTTCTTGCTCAGCTGCATGTCCTCACCAAAGACCTTTCAAGATTGTGATTCACTAATTGTATTAAAAGGAAATGGAAATTTGTTGATGGCGCGCTAGGGACCACCGCGTGTGCGAGGAGCACGTTCGAGAATTATAGAGAGGCTCATGCACCGTTCCCCTTGCGCCTTTCTGTTTGTTGTATTCAAGATTCAAGAATGCTGTGCCGGTTTTGAGGTCACTCGCAGCTATGCATAGCACGGAACACGCCAGCAGAGGCTTTAGTACAACCGCGAGCCACGCATGCATGAAGGCGCATCACAGCATCCGCTACGGCAGCTGAGTTATGATGAGTGTGGCACTGGCAACCGCGTTCATGCTGGTGATGAGGATCTGAAGGCGCCACCGCACCAAAAAAGCTGCTATTCAAGATTCTCACTCATTCTTGATTCACATTGTAGTCACAATTTTGAGTAGTAGTTGCGAGTTGCACAAAGCAGCAGACGCGTTATCATATAATCAACAATCTGAATGCATGTGCAGATGAATTGAGTTCGAGTCAGAAAGGTCCTCGAGTCGCGAGTCGCGAGTCAAGAGTCGTGGGTGTCGGTGAGGTGTGAAGCTTGCTTGAGTCGCGAATCAAGAGTCCAAAGTGTTTCTTCTGCCTGCCAGAGGCCAATGCTTGATGCACGATGGTGATCGCAAAGTCTGTTGTGAATCAAGAGTCAAGAGTCAAATCTTGAATGTGGATGCGTGCATGTTGCATACAAAAATCATTCAGATTTAAGTCAGTTTGAATCACGAAATCGTAAAGTCTTGAGTGCACGATGCACGGCTCACCTACGCCTACGCGCGCTAGACGGAGACGCAGTTTGAATCTTGAATGTGGTGACGAATTCCGAATGGCGCTATTTAATAGCCCTACGCCAGCTTAATTGTTGCGATACTCTTGACTCGGACTTGACGGCCTCTCGTGCTCGTGCTGCTCATCCATCAGCAACTCGAGCTGTCCCGCATGGCTTGACCAGCAATCACTCCGAGACGATCGCCATCATCACGAACCCGCCATCAGCGCGCGCGCGATAGATACCCACTCACCGACCCGCCGGTCACGAGGTCCCGACACGCCCTACGCGACGTACTCCAGCTGTATCTGTGGGCAGCCAAGACGAGGCCTGACGCGCACCTTCGGCTCATCTCGTGCGCAGCTAGCTAGCTAGCTGAACGAGGTGCGGCTGCGGGTATCGAAAGGTGTACGCGCTCTTCACACAGCGGGACAAGGACGCCCGCCGAGTCGATGGTGCACCTGTCCGGCTCTCGACCACCTTGTACCCCTCGCCTCGGGTGTCTCTGACTCTTGACTGGCGGTACACGGCTAGCTAGGCGGGGGTGTTGATCTCGCTCTCTCTCTCTCTCTCGGTCGCAACGCGCCCTTCGCGAATGATACAGCACAGCCAGCAGCTGCATTGTCAAGCATCGAGAAGATCTCTATTCCGTCATACCTCCCACAGCAATCCGAGCTTGCTCCCGACCCTCTCCTCCATCACCTGGAATCCTAATACGCGGGTTTCGCGACTCCAGTCGCGATGGCGCAACCTCAGAGGAGTCCCCTGCATCTCGCTGTGAGTCGTGCTGGACACTGCGCTGCACCATTCATCGGGTCATCGTCAGCTGAGCCACCTCCCTTCTCCATCCACTTTTGCCAGATTCCTGGAGCGCCAGGCTCTCAGCATGCAAGCAGCGGCTACTCTCCCGTCAGTCCCAACAGCTTTTCGTTCGGCGCACCGCCTTCTGCAGGACCTCCGAGAGGTAGCTTTGACCAAGGCATGAGCGGCATGTCGCCCGCTGCTCAGCCTTTCCAACCAGGAGCTCCACGCGGAAGATTTGCTCCTACCTCCTTGATGCCCCCTCATATGGTGAGTCTTGACGCCCGGAAAATAGTTCAATACGCGTGTTTCTGTGCACCTTCTGAAGCGTATGACATCGCGTATGCGCACACGTTCCAGCTACAACAGATTCAATCGCAGTTGCATGCCGGCAGAGCCGGCTCACCAGGTCCACCAAATGCTGGCGGTCTTTCTCCAATGTCCATGGGAGCGTCAAGGCAAAATAGCGGCGGGCTCAATCCCGCCGCAGCTGCCTTTCCATTCCCAGGACCTGGCGCGTCCGGTCCTTCCGGGGCATCCAGTCCGAACTTTCGACCTGCAGTCAGTCCCGGAGCTTACGTGCCATCGCCCACGCCTCTGAGCGGTTCTGCTGGACCATTCACGCCGGGCGGTATGAGGCAACAGCAACAGCAGCCACCTGTTCAGCCTATGTTTGGTCAACCCACCACACCGGGCAGCGCGTCCATGAATGGGGTGCCGAGCGGTGGACTCGCAGTCAGACCAGGACGTAGCGGTCGAAGACAGCCGCCGCAGAATCAACCCATCAAGATTTCTGGGCACAATTCCAAACCCTCCGTCTCGCTCAACCCTGCCGCCTTTGCAGCAGCAATGGCAGCTGCAGGAGCTGCTGGACCGGATGGCAAGCCAAAGAGGAAGGTGGTGCTGCATTTGCCTCGCGAAGGTGGTCAGGATGCGGATAGCGAAGCTGCGGCGGAAAAGGCGCGGCAGAAAGCCAAGAACGATGGAGCTGAAGAAGGCGTCGTGGAGCAAAAGGCAGCGATTGCGGCAGCATCTGCACTGATCCGCAGCAAGTGGATCGCGAGGTCTCCCCTCTCTGCCGAAGAGTACGCAGCGGCTGAGCAGAGCCACGATTTGCAAGCTGTCTCCCTGGGCATCGATGCTATGCAGTCACGCGCGCAGTGGCCGGTAGAGGAAATGAGTTACGAGAGCATAGACATTTATCTTCCAGGCAAGCAGGCTTGGGACGCTTATCGCGAGCGTCGACTGGAGGAGAAGCTGCAAGAGCTGGGCGTTTCCGAAAGTCCTACGGAACTTGTGCCTCCTTGGCAAGGCGGCTCAGCAGGCGACGGTTGGGGTGTCGGGGCTGGAGGAGGCGATGGTGGTGCCTTTGGATTACCGGAGCCGCACTACGAGGAGCCCCAGTATACAAGCGACCCAATGTCCATCTCTTCCCCCGCCGATCCAGGCGTGATTTCATCGAGGCTCAGCAACTACCTCCAATCGCAAGCCGACAACGTTCAAGATCCGCCCGACGCGCCCCCTGCTGCCGCCGTTGCTTCCACCACGCGCTGGTCGAGCAACTTGCCAGCCAGATTGCGAGACCTTGCGGCTATGCATCTGGGCACTGGAACGGCCAAATGCAGCAGCAGCAGTCCAATGCACAGTCAGACCATGTCCCTCAGCATGCCGCAGTCTGGCGGTCCATTTGGTCCCGGGGTGCTCACTGCTCTTGGTCTGGGCAAGGATGTCGAGCGAGCGGCTTCAGACGGCGAAAAGCCCGACGAACCTGCGCTCGGCTCTAGACCTGCGATGGAGCGCGGTCATTCTGACGGACCGCCTGAGCTCGCTCGACTGGCTGCTCAAAAACGTGCCGCGAGTCAGAATGCGATTCCGCCATTTGGCGACTCTCGCGTGCTGGATCAAGTGACTGAGGAAGCGGAAGAGTCCGTGTCTGCTGTGCCAACGCATACCGCTGGGAAGGCTTCGTGGCAGGACCTCGGCAGAGGTTTCGGTTACGACCCAGACGAGCCAGAGGCCGAGATCGAGACGCGCGAAGAAGAGCCGGTCGAGCTGGCCCCGTCTGCAGGCACAGGTCATGCGAGGAACGCATCCAAAATGTCTTTGGGTCCCGACTTTGAGGAGGCTGCTCGACGCGCGCAGAGATACGCCGAGGACGTCGACATGCGCACGAATCCGAGCGAAGATGGCGACATGTCTAATGAGGACGGTGTGGACGAGCTGGACGAGCTGGACGCTGAGCGCCTCGCAGCTAGGGGCGAGCAAGGTCATCTGCTCGACTTTGCTCAGGACGAGCAATTCAGCTACGATGAAGATGAGGAGGAGGACGAAGATGATCTGAGCGATTCGCGCACCCCTTCGGGCGAAGAGTACAGCAATCCTTCGGACGAGGAAGCTGCGCGCGAGGCTAGGCAGCAGCGCAGAGCTCTCCGAGCGGAGCTTCGTGCTGGTCGCAAGATTGCAAAGCAAAGAGCTAGAGAAGCTAAACAGCATCGCAGCTTCCAGCATAGCCGTCACCTCACGGGAGACACTTTACCAAGTAGCAGTCTTGGCGAAGGCGAGCCCAAAAACAAGAACAACAATAGCGGTTGGGGCTTTGATGCGCATCGCGCTCAAGCTGCCGCGCGCGTCCACGCGGATCAAGGCATTCTCAGCAATCCCTCGGACGAAGACGAGAGGGGCACGTTTGGTGGAAGTGGACCGATCGATCACATCGATAGCAATCTTGCTAATGGAGGAGACAGTCGCGCCTCTCAAGACTTCCGCTACCCGCACGGTCCCATGGATGGCTCCTCCGCACCGGACGCCTTGGCATACCGCCGCACCTCGGCCCAATCGCAATTTTCGAGCGCCACACTTGGCCGGTCAGCCCTTCGCTCTGCGCTCAACCCTAGTGCCAAAGAGTTCAAGTTCGGGGCATCTGACAACCAGCCAACTCAAGCGAGCGCGCCGGCAGCGAGCAGTGAGAGCGCACTGCAAGCTGCGCGAGATCGCGCTTTCAGATTACCAAGCATACACAACTCGAGCTTTGGCGGCAGCTCTGCTTTCGAGAATGGCGAAGAGGGCGGGCCGAAAAAGCTCAGCGCCAATGCGCCTTCCTTTACCCCTGGACAGTTCACCTTTGTCGCTCCGGGCGACGCACCGAAAATGCACCTGCCACCTCAGCAAGTGCCCAACTCTGCACCTGCTGATCTCGATGCCGAGCAGTACGCTGAACTCATACGCGCAGACCAAGGCCGCACGAAGAGACCCAAATTCCGCGGCGATACTGGCCCGCTTGATGATCATCCAGATGTAAATGAACCGAGCAGTCCTGCAAGGCCGATTCCGTCAGCAGCGAGCATCGAGGGACCTCTTCGCGATCAGCTCGGACTTGGCCACTCTGGCCCTCCACCATTCAACCCTAATCCGGCGACCAGCGCCATGTCCAGCCTAGCTCACCTGCATCACGCTCAGGAGGCCTCTGCCTTCACTGGTCTTTCTGCACCTACACAGGGCACCTTTGCCTTCAAGCCTTCTGTGCCTGCTTTTATGCCCACGTGGGCCAAAGGCGCTGCTGGATTCGGCACTGGTGCAGAGGCCACCCAGCTCAGAAGGCCTGGCATTCCTGACTTTGCCCCGCCTGGTAGCAGACCGGCGCAAGAGGCTCACCAGAACGGTCAGTCGACGCAGCCCCTCGGTGGCGTTCCTTCGTCCGACTTCACCTTCAAAGTCCAAAGCAAGGCGATCCCGATACGTAGACCGGAGGAGGTGGACCCGCATCGGCTTGGCGAGTCTCTGGCGCAACAGGATGAACGGAGCGCGTCCGAGCAAGAGGTTGAAGACGAACCTCGTGCTAAACGCAGGCAACCGCCCAGCGCCACGCAGTGGGCTCGTGACTCGCGCTTCAATGACCTGCAAACTTATGGTCGCTCTCCCCCCGTCGCGGTGCCGACGGGGGGCTTGCATCGCGCGCAACAGCAGGCGGCAGCGGGCAGGCGCTCACACCAAAGGCGCGACTCGGCTAGCAGTCTGGCGCAGTCCATTGATCGCCATCACAGAGTCGCACGAGCTGCCCAAGGTGCTGCCGATCCGGACGATGTCAGCTTGGACGATGACGAGGAAGATGAAGACGACGATGGCATGATTGATGATATCGTGGATGAGCTTGGAGACAGACTGAAACGAGAAATCGCTTCGGAGATGGAAGCTTGGGCAGGCAAGATCCTGGACGAGGTGACCATCATGGGACAGGTTCGACCTGCTCCAAACCTCGACAGGCATGCCATTATGGATGTGGTGTCGCAGCAGATGGAGCATTCTTTCAGCGTCTGGCTTGATAGGTTCAAGGATGAGACTGCGTTCTTGCAGAAGGCTCAGAACACGCCTCAACGCCTTACCATCGAGGCAGCTCCTGACCCCGACGACTCGTCGGCGACCATCAAAGCCAGCGAGACGCGCGACGCGCCAGCTTCTAGCACTGCTCCGCCTTCGGCTCACAGCTTTGGACATGGTCCTCTCGACGCTCAAGGCGAGCTGGACTTTGACTTTGTGCAGGAGGTCTTGGATGCCAAGATTGCCACCCTGCATCGCGATCTGGCGGCTTCCTTCGAGTCTGCCATCCCTCGTGCGATTGCCGCGATTCCTGCACCTCGACTTGTTGCCCCGCCTGTTCCGGTGCAGTCTGCGCCTGCACCTGCGGGGGACGCTTCACCAAAGGCAGTCGACCTCACTCCAGAGGCGACCGAGACGCTTTCGATGCTACTCATCGGACGCTTGCAGCCCGTTCTTGAAGGCATTGAAGGGGTCTTTGATGCAAAGCGCAGACAAGAGCTGATCCACACGCTGGAGCCGCTGCTGGAGGATCACCTGGTCAAGTCGCAAGTCAAGGCTTCTTCCGAGCGACAGGACATGCAAGGCACCTTTGAGGCCGTCATTGACTCTCGCGTCACCGGCTGGGAGAAGCAGCTGGCAGATGCTCGAGATGGTATGGAACATTTGCAAGTCACCCTGATTAACAATCTCATTCCGCATCTCGAGACGCTCCGCATGGACAGCACGTCGGTCGCTGACTTGACGCTGGAACGCCTTGCACCGCTCGTCTCGTCGCTCAAGTCTGAACCGTTCGACACAGACGCCATCGTGCGCCACGTGGCAGACGTTGTGGGCAAGCAGTCCCTCGAGAGGATGGATGTGGATCTGAGCCCCGTCATCGCTTTGATTGAGCCCATCGTCGCACATCAAAGACGAATCATGGAGAATCAGCGCGAGACGCAAATCAGCATCAGCGACGTTCCTGCAGCGATCAACAATGCCAAGGCCAGCATTTCGGCCAGCATCACAGACAGACTCGAAGAGGTTGTCGTGCACATCAAGCAAACGTCCGAAAAGGCCGAGAAGCTGAATGCAGATCGCGATGGTTTCATGCGGGAACTGGACGACTCGCGCAGAGAAGCGACGGAACGGAAAGCTGAGGCGGACGAGCTGCGCGCTGAGCTCGTCGCATCGCAAGGCTACATTTCCACGATGAAGGAAGAGATTGTTCGTCTCGAATCACGACTGGAAGACGAGTCGATGGCGAGAGAGCGTGCACACGACGCCGAACGAGTGGCAGAGGAGGCCAAATCCTTGGCTCGGCAAGCAGAGATTGCTCGAGATGCGGATGCTGCGCTCAATGAGGAACTGCGCACTCACGTTGAGGAGCTGCGCTCAGAGCGGGCACGCGAGCAAGAGTCTTCGAAGCAGGCCATCGCCGAAGCTCTCAAGCGCGCTACTGAAGCTGGCGAACGCGCAACAGCGGCGGAGAAGGCCATGAAGGAAGCTGCTGAGAAGGTGGAAGCGCGTGTCGACGATGCTCTGCGCTCAGAGAGGGCTGCGCAGGAACGCGCAGAAAAGGCTGTAGAGAAAGCTGCCAAGGCTGAAGGGGAGATTGCAGCGCTGGAGAAGATCACGTCGGAACAAGAAAGCAAGCTTGGCAACATGCATCAACTGTCTGCCAAGCAGAAGCAGAATGCAGCGCAGGCTGCCAAAGATCTCTCGAACGCCAACAATCGCCTTCGTGAAGCTGATGAGGCTGAGAAGCGTCTTCGGGCCACAGAGACGGTGAGTGCATCGAGGTGACACGAGCTCGATATCAGTTGCTGACTTTGCCATGTTGCTTTGCAGGAGCTCGCCATTGCCAAAGCTAGAATCTCCGAGATGGAGTCGCGAGTCGCCGATCGGGAGCAAATCGAGACGCGCTTGCAAACGTCTCAAGCTTCGGAAATGGTGAGTGTGTGTGTGTAGCCTTTGCGACCAGAAGCAAAGCTGTGCGGGTCTGATTCGACGCTCACATCTGCGTCTGCAATTGCCTATGCGACAGCGGGCACGCGAGGAGGTATCTGGGTACCATGCCAGGTTTGCCGAGATAGAAGCGGAGCTCGTATCGATGCAGGCCACGCTGGTGACGCGAGAAGAGCTGGAAGCAGCGCAACGGGAGCTAGCCGAAGCGCGAGAAGAAGCTGCGCAGCTTCGCGGTCAGTTGGCAGAGCGCAGCAGCGGACCTGCCTCGGCGAGCTTGAATGGCAACGCCGGGTCTGGACCTCTGCGCACGATGCACGGACCGATCAAATCCTTTACGATGTGGAGCAGCGACGAGTCTGGCTCTTCGCAAGCACCGGGAGGTACGATGGCTAGTACTTGGGCATCGGTGAACGCGCCCGCGTCTACGGACGACTATCGTGCCGATGCCAGCTTCCACTCCGCTTCGGATCACCAGATCAAAACGCGATCCGCATCGGGGGTCAGTGGACGCAATATCGAGCAGGACGATAGCGGTTGGTGGAGCTAGCAAGCATGAGCTATCCTTTGCCCCCTTTTCCTCACCGTCCAGCATTTACTTGTCCCACTCGCTCCAAAAAGTCCCCCTCCTCCTCCTCCCCCCCCCAGCTCCGCCCGCAAATCCTGACCGTTGCTGCCTCGCATTTGCGCCTAACTCTTATCCCCATTGCCCCGGCCCCCCAGTCTCTCGATTCTCGCTTCCCGTTTCCGACCCTTATTCCAATTTGCCCCAATACCCGCGACATCCCCTACTTTGCCCGTGCCCACATCTTTTTTTAAAATATACCAAACACCATCTCTCCTTTTCTTTCGCGAAATTTGCTATCCCCCCCCACTCTCTCTCTCTCTCTTTCTCAACTCGACTCGAACTTTGCACCGCTCGTTTACTCTTTCACGCCTTCGCATATCCGAATGTTGATCGATGCATGCTCTGTTCGACATGTTGTAGGTTGAGCGAGCGGGCTAGAAAGGCTGCATGCATGGCAGCGCACGAGAGAAGAGAAGGAAGAGAAGGGGAGAGAATTGCACGCACGCACGCACACGCACGCACACGACGGGAAGAGCGCAACGTTGGGGGGCCCTTCTAGCATTGCTTGTGGAGATTTGAATTTCGTCTTGATACACATGCAGATGTGGGTGTGGGGGGGTGTGGGGGGGTAAGAGGGTGGCGAGAGAGAGTGAAAAGGGGGGAAAGGGTGAGGGGGGGGGATTTACAGGAAACACAGGGGAATGGAGAGCGAGGAGGGTGTTGAGGGCATGTAAAGTGAGGTGGAGATGCGACGCAAAGCATCGCGAGTGTAGAATAGGCCGACGCGAAAAAGTAGAAACAAGACAAAGGGGGTGGCCGAGTAGGGCCCCGAGCAAAAAAAAAAAAGGGGACCGACTATAGTATAAAGTATCGAGACTCAAAGGGGAAAAAACAAAAAAAAAAAAACAAAACAAAACAACGGGGAATGTGCTGTCGACTTTGTACAGAAGAGAGAGGGGCAAAAGTTGCGAGGAAAGGGTGTGACTCGGCTTGTTCGGCAGGGGGCTCAGCTGACTCAGTAAGGATAGCCATTGCCCAGATAAGCAACCGTTCCGCTAGGCATGCCGATTGCTGGACTAGCACCACCATAAGCGGTCTTGTTGCCCGAGGCGAAATTGTTGGGGGCAAAAGGGTGAGTGTGAGCTCCGTGGACTTGAGGTGGAGGAGGCGCCTGTTGGCGCCCGCCATAACCGCCTCGATAGGCCTGGGTCTGCGCGCCAGCAAACGGTCCTTGACGCGGTGGTGGACCACCACCACTAGCGACGTTGTTCTGTGCCACGTGGGAAGGCGGTGCCATCTGCCGTCCAAGCCCTTGAGGCGCGCCGGGGTACTGGGGCACGTTGTTGTTCCCTCTGTACATGTGCTGCTGGGGAGCGCCATACGAAACGCCCTGTTGAAGAGACATCTCGCCGCCGCCGCTCATCTGACCAGGTGAAACGCCGGCGCCCATGCCCATGCCGTTCTGCTGGTAATTCATACCATGGCTCTGGCCTCCATTCGGGTAGCCCATCATGGGGCTCATTCCGTCCATGCCGTACCCGTTCGCTTGTCCCTGACGCTGATTGCCCATGGCAGCAATGGCTTGAAGCTGCTGCTGTTGCTGAGCGGCCTGGAGCAGGGCGTACGGCATGCCAGGCATGCCTCCACGACCATTCATGCCTCCCATTCCAGGGCCCATGTGATGATGGCCCATGCCACCCATCGGCGGGCCGAAATCGAGATTGTCGCGCTGCAGCTTGCTCTGAATGCGCTTGCCGTAAGGCGTGTTGCGAATGACGGGCAAGATGGGTCTGATGCAATCCACCAGCGCGACCCTCTGCAGCGGCTCCGCGTAGTCCAAGCTGGTCTGCACGACGTAATTGCCAAAGGAGTCGCGCAAAAGCTTTTCCAATCGAGCACGATTGAGCAGCTCGTCGATCAGTTGCTTGCGAAGGCTGGCATTGGATACGCGAATGCACTTTTCCATCACGTTGCTGCTGAACTTTTGCACCGAGAGCAAGCAGACGTTGCCGATGAATTGTTGAACCACCGCATCGCTGTAGCGCGGGTCGTTGAGATCCAGAATGTACTGGACGACGTAATTGCCAAAAGGATCCTGCACCAACGTCAAGGCGTTGAAGGTGATCTCGGTGACCAGCTGCATTCTCTGCGTTTCCGAAGCGTGGTCAATGCAGCGCTGCAGAACGCAGCAGCCATGGCGATGGGTAGCCACCTCGACGCAATGTGCGGCCACAGCATTGTAGATGAACTGATCATCCTCCGCTCCAAGTCGGTTGAGGCACTTTTGAATGACGTGGTTGCCGTTCAAGTCCTTGATGAGGGTGACGACATTCATCGTCAGCGCTCCGATGATGCTTCTGATCTGGCGAGGCGTGGACAAGAAGTCGATCATCTTTTGCACAGCTCGCGTGCCGTGCATATTCAACGAGATGGTGACCAGCTCGGAGGAGACGCTCTCAACGATCAAGTTGCGCTGATCGTCCGTGCAGTATTCTAGCATCTTTTGACACAGATAATTTCCAAACGGATCCGTCATCAGTTCGGTAAAGTGCTTGAACGTCTCGGCAAAGATCATATCGCGATACGTGGGCAGGCCTTCTTCGAGCTTCTTTTGCAGATATCGGCAGCCGTGCTGATCTTTGCATAGCGCAAAGATCTCACCGTGAAGCTGTTCCAGCGGAGTGTTGACGTCCAGCTCACTCTTGCGCTGTTGGGCCGATTGCGCACCTGCCAGACCAAGCAGTGGATCACCATCGAGGCCAATGCCAAAGTGGCCGCCGTGCTGCTGTTGATTGGTGACAGGGGTTCGGCTGAAAATGTCAGACTGGGTTGATCCAAGAGCGCTGGGAGGATTGAAAGCTTCAAAGAAGCCCGAAGAGGGGCGTGGTTTCGTTTCGAACCCGTTTGCGGACGGCCCGCCACTACCATACGGACCAAATCGGTTGGGAGTGGTGGCACGAGCGCCTCCGACGAGGGAATTGGGATTCGCTTGCGGCTTCATGCTCTCAGCCAGGGCAAAGCTAGGGAACGAGCTGATGGAATCAGCGTCGGGGCCAGCTGAGAGGCGAGAGCGCGATGGAGGACCAGCTGCGAGATCATTCGTTGGCTTGAGGGCCACGTCACCAGAGCGGAAAGAGTTGGACATGTTGGAGGATTGCTCTGTAACGTCGCTTGGCGCTTGCGTCGGCGGTCTGGCGCTGAGCTGCGAAGAGCCGTTGCGGCTTGGCGAATTGGTAGAGTGGCTGCCCTGTGAGCGCTCATCGTCTCCTCGAACAGCCGCTGCGCCCAGCTGCTGGGACAAGTGGTGAGGCTGAGCATTCCCAGCGACCTGATTGGCGCTAGCTGCGCGTTGGCCAGTCGGACCCAAGCTCGCGGCACCAGAGGGCAGTCTGGGACCAGCAATGGGTCCAAATTGCGGCGAGTTGCGCTCCGAGCGTCCCCTGCGATCGTTGACCAAACCGGCACTATGGGGAGGCGCATGATGTTGGTGAACGGTCTCGCTATGACCGGCGTACTGAGGCCACTCTGACAGCTGAGCTTCGCCGATCGCGCCACCAGCACCGCGGTGCGATCTTGGAGCTTGAGCGAGAGGTGCGAGATCAAGCGCAGCAGAAGAAGCCGAAAGCTATGATGGGGAGCGAACCGAGGAGCGCGCAGGTCAGACAACCCTCCGCAACGACTATACACATGCACAAAGGAAGATTACGCACCATGCCTGGATAGCTATCACGCCTGATCAGCACCGGAAAGTCATCGTCTTCCTCCTTGAGGTTGTACTTGCGCACAAAGGCCGAGTCGTCCGCCTCCAACGCTTCGTCGTCGAACAAGAAGCGCTCATTGAACACTGGCGTAAAGCCAGACTCTCCATTTTCGGCTCCACTGCCGCTCCCGCTGCGCGTCAAGGCTCGTTGAAGGACATGAGGTGCGACGGGTCGGTTGCTGCCAGGCGCGTGCTGGTGGTTGGCAGGAGCGTTGGGCGCACTGTTCAATGTGCCGGCTTCTTGAGCAAGCTGAGCGCGCACTTGACTGACATTGCGGTGGCTTCCGACAGATAGGCGTTCAAAGGCATGAGCGAGATCGCCAGATGCGGAGCCCAAGGCGCGCCGATCGGTCGACGAGACAGCTTCTGGCCCAGCGCTGATGCGTCGAGAAGATGGGACGGATCGAGCTGTCGAAGGGGGCGGCAAGCCAGGAACGTTGCTACCGTTCAAGCCTTCCTCTGGCTGAGTATCGCTCATGTCGCCGAGTTGAGCGCGAAAGGAGATTGGGTCTTTCGCAGAGCTAGCAGCACCCAACATGGAGGTGGGCCGAGGCGAAGAATTGGTCGTTTTTGATCTCAGCGTCGAAGAAGCGCTCGTCTGACTCGAAGCGTTGCCAGGTGGTGTGCTAGGTGCAGAAACATGAGGCACTGCTTGGTTGCCTGCGACCGAGTCCAGCGGACCCTTGCTACCGCTCATCAAGCTGGCTTCTTCCTCGCGTTGCTTTCGTTCCAGGAGCTGCATTTGCTGCTCAAAGGCAAGACGCTGAGCAGCACGTTGCTGTTCGAACTCCAGCCGTTTGCGGTCGATTTCCTGCGAAAATTGGGAGTAGAAAAGAGGTTGGTGAGCGAAGCTGCGCTGATGTAGCGACTCGTCTGGGCTGCGGAGGATCGCGGGTCAAGGACGATGCACCGCATGTAATGACTCACCGAATGGATGCTCCTCACATCGGTCGACACAGCCTCGTCACCTGCTCCTTGCCCGCCTGAGCGAGCTAGAGATTGTTCGTTGCGTGTCGACGTCCCCTGAAAGCTCGCTGGGTCCGTTGTGGTGGCCACACCTGCATGTGTGGCCTCTTGCCGAGTCTGAGCCGCTGAAGCAGATATGCGCGATTCGCCGCCTTCCATCTTGCCGCTCGAAGAAGTAGAAGACAAGTGCTTGGAGCTACAGACAGGTAGCTTTGATGAATGACAAAGTTGGCGTGACGCTACGTCCAAGACATGCAAGAAGATGCTGCAATACGCTTACCCAAGATGGATCGTTATGATGTACAAGCGGGAGAAGAGTTGAGCTGGTCGGCGCCAGAAACTGACATCGAACAAGGTGCTTGCAGCGTAAGCAGGTGCGCGGGGGCGGTGCCTTCCTCGGCCAGCTCTGAGCTACGCAGAAGACTCACCAATAAGCGGACCTCCACGACGCAGCGTGGCTGAGCGTCTTGCTATAGCAGGTGGTGCTGAGGATGCGGGCGTACCAAAAGCCCAAAAAGCTGGGAGCAGGATGCACTGTTGTATGCTTCGCGAGGGAATTGAAAGGCGGGTACTAATACCAAGGCGATTACAGCGCAGCAGAAGCGTTTTCTAAGGTGAAGCGGTTGTCAGGGACAAGGGTTTAGGATATCATGTGGATGAAGTCAGGTGCTTGCTGGAGGCAGGAATACACGTGAGACGTAGCCGTTGGTACAGAGCAGCAAGGATCAGCAGCGCTTGGACCCGTGTGCTTCGAGGGCCCTTAATGGGACGTTGACTGGCTGGCTGGCTGGCTGGCTGGCTGGCTGGCGTAAAGGCGACGAGAGCAAAGGCTGAGCAACGAGAGACCGGGATCAAGCTGGACTATGCTTTGAAGGTAGCGCTCAGCTTGCTGGCTGCTTTGTTTGTTGCGGAAGAAAGAGTGAGAAAGAAGGAAAATTCGGTGTGAAGGAGGGGGGGAAAGGAAAGTGCTGATGTTGCAGTTGAGCGCTCCTTCTTTTTTTTTTTTTCTTCTTTCTTTACTTTATCCTTTTCGTCCCTTCTTCTTGAATCTCGTTGCGGCGATGATGCGCAAGAGATTGAAGAGCAAAGAGGGAGTGGTGCTGTGCTCAAGTGTTGAAGCGTTACCCTCTGACGTTTAGTGTGTCGAGGTGTAGCTGGGGTGGAAGGCAGATCGCTGTGCGTGCGTGCGAATCGCGCATTGTGAATACTTCCTTTGCCTGTGCCTCACCTCATCCCTACCTGCTGCTGCTGCTGCTGCTGGGCGGATATGTGAAGCGCTGCTAACCGAACGCACACCTACACTCGACCGACTCTCTGCGAAGAATCATCATCACAGCGCACGCACAGCAGGCGCAGCCTGCATCATGCCGTTCGTTGCACGCGCACGCACGCACGCACGCACGCACGCACGCACCTGTGGAATGGCAGGCAGGCAATCAAGGCGGCAAGCAATAAAAGCAAGCAAAAACGCACATTTAAATTCGTGATTGCGAATCTTGAATGCAGCCGAGCTATATATATATATGGCCTGGCCTATAATTGAATCGCGCGCGCGTGGCAGCATATATGCAGGACAGACTCGCGCGTGCCTCGATCCGCTCGCCCCTCATCCGACCAACCAACACTCACGACTTGATTTTAAAATTGCACTCGTGACTTCAAATCTTTGACAGCGCAGGCAGATGCTGCGATCGAGCAGCGCCCGCCGCTGCTATATGCATGGCTGTCGCGAGTGCAACGCGCCGCCGCCAGCAGCAAAGGCGGTCGGTCGGTCGGTCGGTCGCCTTGACGGAGCTGCCCCCCCGGCGGCGCGCATTCAATCATTCACGCTTCACTCGTACGAGGTCAAGCTAGCTTAGGGCTGCTTACGGTATTTAACGTAAGGTAGAAAGAAGGAAGTCACGAGTGTCGCGCAGCCAGACAACAGGAAGGAAAGAACAACATGTATGCGTCGCCCATTCCGTCTGCGACACGGTCAAGGCGCAGGTTGCGACCATGATGATTCTCTTCTAGATCTGTTGTTGTGTCTTCGTGTAGACCCGTTGGGACGACTGGTGACTCGAGCAGAAGACGTCAGATGACTCCATACTCTGCACGGTAGATGCTGTCCTTGTAAAGTACGCTGACAAAGTACATCTGGACATTCAATTCTCGATTCACGGATCTGATCAGTGTGAATCAAATTGGGTGTAGGTCAAAAGAAAAAAAGGCAAGAGAGGTGCTGCCCCTTTCAACAAAATTCGCGCCTTTCAAACAACGATTGACCTTTCAGGCCAGGCCAGGCCGGTCGTGTCTTTGACCCACATCCGTGTGAGAGGATAACTTTTTCTGATTCTCGATTTCTCTGGCGCCGCAACTCTTCACTCGAGACTCGAGCCCCCTGCCTCCATCGATCTCGCATGCATGCCATGGCCGCAACGTGTTGGTTCTCGCACGCGTCGGGATGGGGGCGGGGGCTGGCATGGCTGCAAGATCGAGCGCGGAAGCATCTGCATGCACCATGCCGCCGCTGTACTCACGTGAGAGTCAAGTCCACGAGTGAAAGCTAGAAGAGAGAAACGCCTGGTGCATGTGGAGGTTTCCATGCCCTCTGCAGCGTTTGCGCTTTGAAGGTCTTGCGAGACGCGCGCGCGCGCGGTCTCGAGATCGATTTGTGTTGCACGTGATTTGAGCGGACTTGTGGTCATGCATGGCCCCGGAAGGCTTTCAAAGGTCGGAAGTGAGGAGAAGTCACGTTAGACTCGCGAGTCTTGGATTTCATCCAGCATCCAACAACCCATTCAGTCCAACCGAATCAAGCAATCCGGTTCAAGTGATCAAGTATCTGCCATGATGCGTGAACACATCGGCCACTGGCAATTCAATCTCTGGCTTCAGGACGAGAGAGCAAAAGAACATGACGAGGAACGAAAGAAGCGGGCGCATCGATTTTTACATTCGTTGTTGGCCGACTCTTACTCGTAGCAGCATGCAGTGGGGTCTCATTGGCATTTGCAGGCTTGCCCAGCGAGCTTAGCGCTCAGAGAAGGAGCTGCATGGCATTCGCTCATGCACCTCGTACAGAGAGAGGCGAACAACGAGATGCGATGTGTCTTGCAGTCGGGTTCTGTTCATCCACAGCGCGTCGGTTGGAGCGTCAGCGCATACACGTAACAGCTGGAAGCCTATGGTCGCGGCGCATCGCACACTGACCTGAAACAGATCCGCATAGTCCGCTCGCAGAGTGTACGATCTAGACGCCGGGAAAGCGGTCGCGCATCAGCCGTACTTGTCGGTATGGCCATGCAGAGCGTGCCCCGCGCTCTACGCTCACCTTTGCAAATCCAGAACAACCTGAACCGCTTGCATGCTCGATCCGCCAAGCTCGAAAAAGTCAGAAGTGGCCGCGACTTGCTGCTTGTTCAGGCCGAGAATGCGAGCAAAGCTGCAAATGACTAGAGATTCGATGTCCATCGTGTCTTTTCCCTGCTGCTCTTCTTTTGGGCTCAAGCCGGACGCGTTGCTCTTCAACAAGGCTTCAGTGGCCTGCTTTACTGCTCTACGATCTATCTTGCCGTTCGCAGTCACTGGGAAACTCAGAGCGCTGAAAAAGTGTCGAGGAAGCATGTATGCGGGCAGAAGCGCTTTGCACGCTTCTTGCAGGTACGACCTCTGCATCGGCTCGCAAACAGAGAGGTCCGAGCACTTTGAGCGTGGCAAGCTCTTGCTCTCTTTCTCCTGGCAAGCGTTGCTGAACACTACACAGACAGCCAAGGCTCGAGAGTCAAGCTGCACTGCGACCGCTGCTTCGACGCCTTTACAGCAAATCAAAGCGTATTCGATCTCGCCCATCGACACTCGTCGTCCACCGTCCGTCTTGATCTGGTCGTCTCTTCTTCCAAAAATTTCTAGTTGGCCGTTCGGCAAGTATCGACCAAGATCGCCTGTGCAAAACAGACGCTCGTCGGTCGAAGGGTGCTGCACAAACTTTTTGCGCGTCTCTTGCTCGTCCGTGTAGCCTTGTGCTAGGCCGTCTCCGGCAATGAGCAGCTCACCTGTCACCCAGGTGGGCGATTCGATCCAAGGATCGATGCTCTGGACGCAGTACCATCTTTGATTGGACAAGGGCACTCCATAAGGCACCCGTACGAGACTGCTAGCATCTGCAGCGGTGCCACACGGCTGCGCAATGGACCAGATGGCCGCTTCCGTTGCTCCGCCCAGTGTCCATATGTCGAGATCCTCGCTTACGGATCGCAGTCTGCAAAGTAGGGAAGTCTGAACTACATCGCCGCTCAGCAAGCAGACCCTCAGCTTTTGGACGGCTGCTTGATTGCTCTTGTCCAGCAGGAGCATCTGGACAGCACTACCAACGCAGATTTCAGTCTTGGTGCCCATAACCAGGAAGCACAGTCCTGCATACTCACGAGGGCACGCTGTTCCATACGGTGACGCCATGATCCGTCACGGCACGTCCCCAGCATTGAGGATCGCGGCAAATTTTTTCAGGCAGCATGATTAGCTTTGCCCCGATGCACAAAATCGACAGATCGAAGATGCTCAGATCGAAAGTCAAATCGGCAACAGCCAGCACGGCATCTTTCGCGCCGATCTCGCAGCGCTTAAACACGTCGTAGCATGTGTTTAGCACCGCTCGATGCTGCAAAGTGGTGCAGTGGTCAGGAATAGAGCTGCCAGACAAGACGCGTCAGAACGTACTGAGAGCACGACGCCTTTTGGTAGACCAGTAGAGCCGCTTGTCTGCATCGGTGTGAGGTGTAGGTGAGCAACATGGTGCTGTCTGGCATCGCACGACTCACATAAAGGATGTAAGCCTCATCGGTCTGGTCGAGCCGCTGACCAGAAACGTCGTTCGAAAGCTCCGTAGAAGGTGGCTGAGAAAGCATGTGCTCCACCGACAACCATTCCCGCCCACCCAGGACACTCTCCACGCGTGTTCTGTCGAATGAGCCGTGCATGATGACGGCTAATGCGCGCGCATCGTCCAAGACGTGCTTCAGGCGTCTGTCGGGCCAGGCTGTGCTCAGAGGAACGAAGCTGGCTCCTGCGTGGAGGCAACCATACACTGCAGCGGCTTGGCGCCAGCTTCTGCCCATAAGCAGACCCACGCGAGCTTTTTGGTCTGGACGCTTGAGCACGAGCAGGCGAACGTGGGATGCAATGCGCTCAGCAGCGCTCCTCAATTGACCGTAGGAGACACTTTCGCCCTCGAACTCTTCGACGGCGATACGCTCCGGATCAGCGAGCGCGTATTGCAGAAAGGCGTTTTCGATTTTAATGGGCAAAGACAGGTCAGCTGCTGTCTTGTTCGCTTGGCGTCTCGTGAAAAGTTGGGCCTCGATGTCGATCTCTAATGGTCGAGCCCAAGCGTCACCGCTCAGAATGCTCGCCGCAGCTCCCACAAAGGCCTCGAACATACCCTCCAGCATACCCTCGGGATGAGCTTCTCGACGCACGTCCCAGCGCAGGAGCACTCCACCGTCCGTCGGATTTCGAATGGCTTGAAAATCGATGACGACGCCTGGGGTGGAGCTGTAGCCTTGCTGCGAGCGAGCTCCGAGCCCCATGGGCATTCTTTGCGAACCTCTTGTCGAGCCGAGGAGACCTGTGAAGATGTATGCAGGGGCAGACGAAGGGTATGCGGAGGCACATTTGTCCTCTCTGCTCGAAAGCCGCTCGAGATCCTTCGAGATAGCCTGCACGAGCGCGCTAAAGGACTGCCCAGCACTTGGCTCCACTGATACGCTCACAGAGCTGGTGAAGTTGCCGACGACGGTCTCTCTCGCTTCTAATGGCAACATGTCACGCATGGACGTGGTCAGACCGATCGAAAAGGCTTCGAACGTGCCTTTCCAGCGTTGCAAGATCGAAGCGTACACGCCGATGAGAGCAGCGGAGGGTCGTGCTCCATGCTTACGACACGTCGATTTCAGCTCGTCGAATTGCTCCGCGGACCAGTATTGTTGAAGGCGGCAAAAGTCGGCTTTTGTCTCTAGCACCACGGTCTTCTCTCGCCGGGGCAAGACTGGCGAAGAGTGAGGTGTCGAGTCAAGCTCTTCCAGTTCTGGCTGGCGTCTGTGCAGAATGCAGCGCGCAGCGGGCTTCGTCACCGCTACCATGCACTCGCGCAGGCTGGGCGGATTCGGGGCCAGGCGGTCAGTTCTGCCCCTCAACAGGTGGGTCAACTCTTCCAGCAGTATCGCAAGGGAAACGAAGTCTGGATGGGGAAAAAACAGAGCAGTTTCTTTGAGACCGTAGATCAGAGGCAGCTGCACCAGAAGGCCCCTTACCGAGAATGATAAGATCGGCACAAACGTGTAGCACTGCTTTGTCTTGATTGATGACGTCCAGGTGAGCCTCGAACATGGGCGCCGTGTCCAGCGGGAAGACTTTGTGTTGCATCCTTCGTCGAGTGACCTGTGCAGGAAAGGTGGAAGAAGGGAGGTCAGTCAGTGCTATCTCGAACAATGAATGCATCGTTTGGCCAGACCCACCGTCCCCAACTCACTTTTAGAGCTTGGTCTTGCGATGCCGGGCAGAGGTCGCACAAGTCAGAGTAGCCGATGTTGGGAGGAACGACGGCGTCGACGGCAAGGATACGCTGTCGCATACTCTCCACATCGATCTTCGTTCGAAGCGCCTCGTGACGAGCAATGAGCATCTCTTGCGCATTTTGAAAAGGAGCAGCGCCCAATCCTCGAATGTCTGGGGTGCGCAATTCCAGCTGCTGGTAGATTTGGCATGGCACGGCAGAGAGATTGTTCAGCGAAACGCTTCGACCGATGATGTAGGCTTGCTGTATGCGCGTGAGTGGAATGGAGGCGTCATCAGCCGAGGCTCCGCTGGGCAGGTCTTTGGCACGCATCTCGTCGAAATTTCGCGAGGGAGCGCTTGAAGCAGGTCAGTTCGTTGGGCATTCATGTCGGCCACATCCATCCTTCTCAACGGTGCTTCTAGCAGCCCTTTTGTACCGCTAAAGAAAAGAATGGACTTTGCGAGGCTTTCCTTGTCGCGCGTATAGGTCAAGCACGAAACTCACGAAAAGACGCGCCTCTAGCACCTCTACACAGCTGCTCTTGATCCATCGACTCAAGGTACAGTGACCGACAGGAACTGGCAAGGTGTCCAATAGATGCCGGTGTCCATCTGATACGGATACACGAATGGACTAAACGATCAGAATGAGGCAAGTATTCGTCAAGACCGACACGGTCCACTTAATGAAGGCGCCCATCAGATCTCGAGAAGCTATCGACGTCATGGCTGCGCATCCATCCAGTCAATCGGTTCGGTCATTCAGTCCACATTTGATCACAAGCGGGGAAAAAGAAGCGCAAAGTGTTGTTCATTCCGACTGACAAGGTCACTAGCTCGGCGCATCTGATGGATATGGCTCAAGTGGCAAGAGCAACATTGAGACTTCTTTCTCTGGCTGTGCACGTGCGACTGGTCCGACGCAGCCACACGACAAGGTGGCAATCACGCATCACGGGCATCAAGGAGTTCCACAGCGGTTGGCTTACGCCTCACGACACTCCGACTCCCCTGGCGAGCCTGACGACGCAAATGTGACCGCACAAAGCTTCTGACTACGGCATCTGATATGACGCAAAGACGGGTGCGCATCGATGAGTGTGCGTCACGATCCAGCCATGAATGCGATGAGCATGCGGAGGCAGGTCAACGTTCGTGCTGCTTGCCAATCCGGGCGTCGAGCCCGAGCCAAAGCAAGCACAAATCTGTCTAGCTTCGAGCAATGCAAAAAGCAGGAAAGTGGCCAGGGCAGAGAGAAGGAAAGGTGGAGCAGGAAAACGCACTCCGACGGATCAAGGCCAGCTTCAGCTCCTGCTCCATCTTACGTATGTAGCACTCCCCACGAGCGATTAGTCATTTCGTCGAAGAGCACCGTGACTAGCCGTATGACCTCCCAGTACCGGCTCACAAGTGTACAGAAATTTGTGCCCTTTCAAGAAGCTGCCTTGCCACCCATACCCTCCACACGAGGGAAGAAAGCGTTACCCCATTCGGCTTTCTTGCGCGCTACAGAGTTTGAAAATTAAGACTATATCGATTGAGAGGCTGTAGAACAGAGTCATGCTTGGAGATCAGGAATCTTCGACGAGCGAGCTTTGTTTGCGCAGACCGCTCTGGCTTGTAATGAGCACTTCTGTAGTGCGTTCACGGGGTGAGCGGCGGGCAATGAGAAAGATGGAGAGTGAGCGTAGCTGAGGACTGGTGTACAGGTAGATCGAGATCGATGTTGGTGTCGGAGTCGATGTTGGTGCTGCTGGATGCGCTGGCTCTGGCTGATAGGTGAGGATCATGTCTTGACTCTGTACATGGCTCTGACCACGACTCTGACTCTGACGCTGGTTCTGATTCCGACTCCGAGACTTAGCTTTGCGCTTGAAGATTGGTCGAAATTGACGCTTGACTCGGTATGTGCATCCGCTTGTGCGACCCGGACTTGCGCATGCAATGAGTTGCTCGGGAGCCGAGCTAATGCTACAGCTATGCGTCACTAGCATTCTCCCCAGCAGTCGCTCCTCCTGATCCTCCTGACCCACCGCTCGCTCCAGGCGCAGCATCCGAAACTCCTTCTCCTTCGTCCATCCAAGATTCTTCGACCGTCGCCTTCACCCTTCGTACGTACTCCTTCATGTTCTCTCGATAGAGCTGTGCTGCTTCCGCATTTGCTGGACTGTGGACAATTCCGTGAGAGTCAAACATAAGAAGGACGAGTCAGTAAGTGGGGCAGGAGCACGCTGCAAAAGCCTCTCGAGCACTGTGCAGGCAAAGAAAGACTGCCGACTTGCGGCTTTGCCATTGGAGATTTGCCACTGCCACGTAGCGCTGAGCAGCTTTCGCCTCACGAGCTCCTTCCCCCACACCCCCGCACCCCAAACCTCATGAAGCCCCACTTGACAGCTCACCTGTTGGGATTAGGATCGTGCAGCAAGCTTTGTATGCTAGTGAGTATAGCCGCCACATCATAAGTAGGGCTCCATCTGTTCTGCAAGATGTCCAGACAAAGTTCCCCATTGGCATACACATTGGGATGAAACATTCTGCTCAAGAATTTCACCGTCGGAGGTTTGTTGGGATAAGATTCGTCGAATGTCAAGACCAGTTTGAACGTTCCATCTTCGAACGGAGTTTCGGGAGGACCAAAAATGACGGCGTTCCAGATCAGTAGGTTATCTGCGCAGGGCGCTCCGCTTATACCCCCCGGCGGATCGGTGGATAGACGCTTAAAGTCCCGAATCAAGCGTCGCTTGGAAGGCGTGGACTGAGGAGCAGGAGAGAGGCGAACGAAGTGTTCAGCATACATGCTCAGCATACAGCAATGCATGGAAGATGTGCTTTGAATTGGAAGCGAGGCTGCTCCCACTCACCATCTTGTGGCCGAGTGACACTGGATCGACTGCGAACGCTATCCGATAACCTCGTTTACGACGCTGCTATTCGATTCCACGTTGACACCTACACTTGTGATCGATAGCTGCGGACGAAGAGTTGTCCTGCCAAAGTGAGAGTTGCCTGATAGGGCAGACCAAGCTGAAAGGGATGTGAGCTAAAGTGGAGCGATGAGGTTGTGCTCGAAGTGGAGAATGACTCGACTCGGCCGGCTAAGGTGTATACTGCAAGCAAGCCGCTGTCCCCTTGTGAGTTCCAAGTGTAGCGTGCGATTGGCGCGATACAAATCAGAAATGTGGGTGTAGGAAGCAGATTGTGAGGGTTGAAATGACTGAGGAGCGGTAGGATGGGATGAGGTGAGGTGAGATGAGGTGTGAAAGATGATAACTGGGATGGTGCGTGCATGTGCATCATGCGTGCACATCGCTGCACGCGCGCATGTCAGGGCAGCAGCTGCATCAGCCCGCCTCACCGCGCATCCACGTGGAGGGCGTGCGGCGTGGCTCGTGTGATGCTTGTCAGGGCATCGCACTCGCGACTCGTGACTCGTGCTGAGTGAGTCTTCGCATGAGTGGGGCGCATATGTCATGCTGTTGTGTGCGTGCGTGCGTGCGTGCGTGCATGCGTGCGTGGGTCACGGCGCGGCATAACAAGCATGGCAACCTGGCATCATCGCCATCATCATCGCCATCAAAGCTTTCGGGCACATGCGATCCTTTCAAGAGCAAAGCGAAGTCTACTTCCGCTACCACTCCCTCTCGCAACCTGCATCCTTCTTTCTGTCTTGTTCCGTACCCAGCGCAGTAAGCGCTCCATTCATTCATTCCATTCACTTTGCAAGACCAATCACCCACGCTCACATCTCACCGCCTCGCGATTCAAGCTCGTCAAGATGGGTGGCGGGTGAGTCGTGCTGATGCGATCCCCCTTTTGCTTCTCTCTCTTCTCGATGTAGTCTTGGAATGAAGCTCCTCAAGGCTGACGAATTTTGTTTCCTTCTGCTATGCCATGCTCTGCACTCCCAGTGACCTTAACATGAAAAAGTCGTGGCATCCGCTCTTGCATTCCAATCAGGAAAAAGTGTGGAAGCAAGAAAAGGCGGCATTAGCAGAACGACGCAAATTGGAAGAGCTGAAGAGGGAGAGGGATCAGGAGAGGGAGATGATGGAACTTCAACGCATACAGGAAGCTGCTGGTGGTAAGAAGAGGGTGGAAAAGTTGGATTGGATGTATGCTACGCCCGCTAGCAATGCTGGACCCAATGCTGGCGAGTTGGAAGATTATCTGCTCGGCAAAAAGAGGATCGATAAACTTTTGAAACAGGATGAGATGGCCAGAGTGAGTGCGCGAGGAAGGCCATGCGTGAGGATGTTTTGCCCCTTGGTAGCCCTCCCAGAATATGTGCGTCCGCGCAAATCTGATATTCTTTTGTACCCTCTCTCTTGTGTCGCAGGTGTCCAAACATGATAGCACGGGTCCAGGATCGGGTGCGCCGGCAGGTCCAAGCTCGTCCATCAACGCAGCTCGAGACGTATCCAACAAGATCCGCGACGATCCGCTCATGTCTATCAAAGCGCAAGAAGCCGCAGCATATCAAGCTCTGCTGAAAGATCCTACACGTCTCAAAGCTCTCAAAGCTGCCGCTGCTGCTAAGGGTGGAGATGGTTCTCCCGCGGAAGGGGAGAGCAAGGAAGAGAGGAGAAGACGTAAAGAGGAAAAGAGAAGGAGGAAGGAAGAGAGGGAAGGAAGGAGGGAGGAGGATCGGCAGCGCGAAGGTGATCGGTACAGGGATGCGAGGAGGGAGGAAGATCGGTCTGGACTTCGAGATCGGGACGCATACTATGGGAGAATGGAAGATCGCGGTGGACGTCGCGAGCGACCTGATCGGTCGGATCGTGCACATCGGGACGAGCGAGAAGACAGGCATCAACGAGATTACGAGAGGTCTCGAAGGGATGATTGGTACGATCGAGGAGGCTATCGGGAAGGAGAGTCATCTACTCAGCGTCGAGCCTCGTCTGGACGAGATGCTCGCCATCTCATCGACCGACGTCAACCATCCTCAGCGCGTCGTCCACATTCTCGCTCTCCATCGCGCCACGACGGTGCACGGTCTCGTTCTCGATCCCCGATTCGTCCTGCGCCTGCGCCTGCGCCTGCTCCTCCCCTCGACGCTCGCTCCTCTTACCCAGCCGCGTCGGAGCGAGAAGCGAAATTAGCAGCCATGCAATCCAACGCGAGCGCGCTGAACGCATCACGTCGTTCTCAATTGGAGAGGGTGCGCGTTGCGGAAGAGGCCGAGTTGGTGAGGGAGGAAGAGCTGCGCAGAAAGTTGGCTTCTAGGAGGGAAAAGGCGGGAGGTGGAGAAGAGGGTGGAAAGGCTACTTTTGTTTTGGAGCAGCAGAGATTGGCATATGGTATGGGCGCGGGTGCGAGAGGACAAAAGGATATGGAGATGGATCTGGCTCAGAGACTTAGGAGGGGAGGAAGGGAAGGATTGCAGAGGATGGGTGCGGATTGAAATGTTCGGGGGGGGGGGGGGGGGGACGGCGGCGTCTGCATGAGTAGTGGAGGCCCTCTTGGGCGATATTCAGTCCCCATCGCGTATCGTCCCCCCTCTCGTGCACGAGCATCTTCGCCCCCCCACACCTCTTTCAAAGCTCGGAGCGACAATATAAGATTACGCTCTGGAACAACAGTGTGAATCATCGAGGAGGATCTGTTCTGTCAGGTCAAAAGATAAGCAGTACATGTCCTTGTTCGGCGCTACGCTCCTAACAAAGTGTAGAGACAAGCCTGGCGTAGCGATAGCCGTAGGCGTAGCCGTAGCTTTATTTTGCGTTGTCGTCTCCAGCTTGATCGGCTGCGACGCTGAGAAGTGCTGCTGCAGCTGAGCTTGGGACGGCGTTGCGGCGATGTCTGTGGTAGAACGATTGGTTGTGGAACGACGCGCGTCGGGCGAAGGATTAGGCGGAGCAATTAGACGATGATGATCCTCGAGACCCAAAGCATGATTAGCGCGCTGTCCGCGGAATGTAAGGATGACGATGTCGACCAAGAGCAAAAGTTGGGGGGGGAGGGGGGGGGCGACGTTTGAAAGAGGGCGAGGAGAAGAGGAAATGAGAGAGAGAGAGAAAAGGAGGGGGGAAAGGCCGGGAAGAGTGTGAGCTAGGCAAGTCCTGGTTGCATGCTCGAGTGATGATCGTCGGACCCATCATCAGGAAAGGGGAAGTCGAAAAAAAAAGGGAGATGTGCGTATCCCCCTCTCCTTGGCTTCATGCAAAGCCCCCCTCACCAACAATGGGGTCAACGACGTTTCCCATTGCGCGCAACTCACCATCACGATATCCTCAAAAGGTCTTTGCAAATCCTTGGTGAAGCAATGCACATGGACCCTCGGCAATCTCCTCCCTCCCTCGCCTTCCTTCTGGTCCAAATACCTTTGCATCTCCTCTTGTCCAATACGCCTTTTCAAGCCTACCCAAGCGCCTCTGAACGCGTCCAAGAATTCCAAAGCGATGCTGGGCAGATTGAGCACGTAGTGATCTACCATTCGTCGGGGTGAGGAGCGTGGGATATCAAGTGTTGTTGCTAGATTGTCAGTGTTGGAGGGTTGTTGTGCGCCTGAGGAGGAGGAGGGCAAGGCGGCGGCGGCGGCGGCGGCGGCGGCGTTGCGAGCGGATCTAGCAGCCTTTGCCGCAGCATTTGGACTCTGAAGCAACATCCTTCTATCTTTTTCTCTGATCGGTGCGCCTTCAAAAGCTTCGTTCCAAAGCCTCTCCACACTCTGCCTCACGAAATCTCTCCCATCCACATTCTCCACTCTGATCCTCTTGCCCTCCTGCCCCTCCACCCTGTTCCTCTTGACATTGGCGCACAGCGATTCGTACGAAGCGGGATTCAGATCGTTGCACAGGACGTAGACGCCCTTTTTGGCTGCTGGGATCGAAAAGGGTCCTACACCCGCCATGACATCGCAGAGCACTTCCCAAGGCTTCATCAGTCCCACAATTCGTGCATGCTCCGAATGCAGACGAGAGTTCCAGTACACTGTTCGAAAGTCAAAGGTGAAATCGCACGATTGTTCCGTCTGGCACGCGCGCGCCGAGAATTGCAGAAATTTTTCGATGAAGGATCGTAGGAAATAAAGCAGTGTCAGGGGGGGGCGGAAAAGGTCAGATCAGGACGTCTTGCGCGTCGGAGTCGCGCGAGGCCGTATCAAGCACGCCTCGAAGAAGACTCACCGCTGTGACGATGTAGTCCTCCATCCCCGCAATAAGTTCCATCTGAAAGAATCTGAACTGAGTATCGATGGTATCCAGCTTATTCACCACCGTTCTGATCCCATTGTTCTTCTGAAGAGTGAGGAGGCGAGGGGAAGGTGAAAGTGCATGCAGGGAAAGGGATGAGCACGATAAAGCAATCAATCGAAATCCAAAGCGGCTGATGGGCTCTTGACTCTTCGGCTTTCCCCACGCATCCGACGCATCTGTCAATGCGTCGCTTCTTCTTGGCTCTTGGCACCTGCATTCACTCACATCGAGAATAGCTTGTCCAATGATGTACCTATAAGGCAGGTACTCTTCTCTCAGATTCAAATGCGCTGCGCACCCATGGCCCCAAAAAAGTTAGTCATCTTTTCGGAATCAGCATGTCAAGCTGAGGGCTACATCGATTCGCACCGCCCGCGCAGCAAAGGCAAAGCGCTCCGTAGACTGTCCGCCCCGAAAGACCAACCGTGTACAGACTAGACTCTCGACTCACCGATGTGTCCTACAGCAGTAAATGCCGTCGGAGTACCCTCTGGTAATTCTCGCGGTAACAGCGTCGCGAGCACCTGATCGGCGGACCAATAGTCGTACGTAATCTCCAGCTCGTGCTTCGTCAGCCGCACGTTGGGCGTGCTGCGCACGAAGTCGTGAAGCGCGTCCATCTGCTGCTTCGTGAAGGATTGTGGTTGATTGGGAGAGGTAAGGTGGGAGCTGGGCGCTTGCGAGAATGAGGACGAGGTCGGAACGTCCTCTGGTTGCCTTGACGATGACGAGTCGGCGTCGCACTTGGGGTCGGAGTCTGAGTCTACGAGCATGGAAAGCAGAACTAGTCGTCTTTGTTCTTGTTGCGCTTGTATTTCCTTTTCCCCTTCTTGCTGCGTGGCCATCTCGGTATGAGGACAAGGTATGATCGTCTTGATTCCCTTTTCCCTGAGTGCGAACCTGTCCATAACCATGCGTATGTCCATGTCCACATGGAGCGACAATATGAGCCAAAAGTGTCCGACAAGCACTGCTCCAGCTCATCCCCTTCATCCGACGTAGCACTCACGCAGCGACGCTCTCGCTCCTAGCTATCCTCGCGCTATCCTTCGCCAACACCTCGAGTGCCCAAACAGTATACGTCCGCTCAAAGGCACGTCTCACCTCGTCAGAGATGGCGCCACCTTGTCCCTTTGCGAACAGATCAGATCGAGCATCATCATCATCGCCGTGGGTCGGACGAACGTGGGATAGGGAAGTTGGTGCAGGCGGACGGATATGCAGCTTGTGAATGCTGCGCTCAAATCCGCTTGGCAGGGTGGAGCGTGAAGCGGAGGCGGAGGCGCACCGAGGAGAAGCTGCGAGCGTAGAGTGAGCTTGACCTTCAGCTTCAGCCCGAGCTGCGAGGTCAGAGGAGCAACGGCTCATGCTCAACCTGCTGCCTGCGCGTGCGCCTACGCCTACGCCTGCCGAAGAAGCTCCGAATCCGAAGGCTGAAAGGCGACGATTTGAAGGAGGGAGGAATGCCTTGCTCGTCCTGCTACGGATATGTGCGCGTACGATGGGCAGATGGTGATTGCAGGTGCAATGGCGATTGCAGAGCGTGAGCGGAAGCGCTTGAAGCTTCATCCAGGTAAGGTAACATCGACCGCGCACCGCACAGCACAGCACACAAGCTCCGACTGGCTCCCAGTTCCTCAACACTTTTCCGACTTGATTGCTCTCCCACTCGTCTGCTTTCTCTTCTCTGGATCCGTATGTTTTGCGGCTGGGATCGATGGCAAGCGTGTGGGCGAGGCGATGAGGTGGCAGGTAGAGCCGACCGAGGCTGGCTAATGCCCCTCGACTTGCGAATCGCCACGCGTGATCGCGTACTGTAGCCTGTTGTGCCGGGTGATGGAAGTTGCAGACCCCGAGTGTGAGTGTGAGCAACCTTGAATCCCTCCAGCATGCGCGAATTCAAGAATTCAAGTCTTGAGTCTTGAGTCTTGAGTCTTGAGTCTTGAGTCTTGAGTCTTGAGTCAAAGGGCTTTCCTTAGCTGTGATGTGATTCTTGCACGACACGCGCGCGCAAAAATGCGAGTTCAAAAAGTCACTCACTCAAGACTCACTACTACTTTTCAAAATTGATCCGTGCAGCGGAAAAAATCCCAACGCACAGCCTTCGAATCACGTGATGCGCCCGCCCCGCCGTTGATTCTTGATTGAATTGAGCAGCTCGCTCGCTCGCTCGCTTCTGACTGCGATTCTTGCAATCTTGAATCGCCCAGCAAATCGCTCGATCGCCTCTTCACAGTAAAAATCGCCTCGAGTGTTCATGCCCGCTGGTTACCAAGGGCATTCATTCAGCTCTAATTTCTCGCTCCAAGGCCAAGCAAGTGCTTGAATGCCCCGCCCGCAATCATGTTGTTTTTTGGGTCAAGTCCTGCAGCCCAGCCAGCAGGTCACACCACTTTGGAACACCCATGATGCGCAGGACTCTGTTGTTTTTTTTTGTAAATCTCTTTCAGAAAGGACTTTCCAGCTGAGCTTATCCATGCTGCAGTGAAAGCGCAGTGCTTGCATGGGAGTCTGATCCTGAATGCACAGTCACAAGAGGAAATATTGTCCTCCCTCTCACTGGCGTCTCAAAAATGAAAAAAGCTTCGGGCAAAGGTTGGTTCATGCAGGGCGGGGTTGCTCATCGCCAAATGGTGCGGAATGTAGCGTAGCGCACAGAACAGCCCAACACACCAGCCCGCCCTCGGTCACTCTTGCCTCTACGCGCGCTGCACCGCTCTTTGCGCCCCTTCTTCCCCATCCCTAAATCTTTCCCCCCCCTCTCTCTCTCGCGCCTCCTCCTCTCTTCCCACCCCTAGAACTTTTAGCTCGTCATCATTCCCACCCCATACTCGTACAGATCCTGCCCGCCAACGCCCTCTTGAAGAATTGTTCGCGCGCCAAGAAGCGCGTCTGTTTGAGGTACTTGTCCAAGTCCAGTTGTTCCGTTCCCGCTCCCAATGCTCTGCCCAGATGATACAGCGTATCTTCTATCGCATTATCGTCCGCTGTCAAATTGAGCAATCTAATCATGCGGAGGCAAAAGGCGTGCGGGGAATTTCGGCGCCGGCGTCAGAAGGCGAAGCAGCGAAGCGTAATGGCAGATTCGGGAGACGGGAGATGACGAGAGATGCCCACGCGACGCATCTTTTCTTTGAGATCGTCTCTGCCTTGGTCACCAGACGCATCGGCAGCTCCAACTGACAGGTAGCACCGCCCCCTGATCGTTGCCAACGGCCAACACGACTCACTGGTTGCCCACAATACTAGTAGCGCAAACGATCTCCTCCTCATGCACCGCAGGTCGTTTCTCCACCTCCAGGGTCCTAGCAACGGTCCTATCCCTGCTCTCCTGTAATCCGCTCAAAGTGCTCCTGACCACATCCCTAACCGCTCTCAACCTCTCCATCTCGTCGTGAATGGCAGGAGCGCCCCTTTGCAGATCCGCAAGGAGCATTTCCAATTGGGCTTTGCGCTGCAAAGAGTTGTTGAGCTCGGTGGTGATGTGCAAGGAAAGTTTGGAGTGCAGCGCTTGACGTAATGAGAGCAGCTCGGGATTGGGGGGTAAGGGAGGTGCGACTCCATTTGCGCCTGCAGCGACGTACGAATCGGCATTGGGCTGCTTCAAGGTGTCGCCTCGTCCTGCGCCCGGAGTGCCATACTGATGAGGTGCGTGTGGCGGCAAAGGCGGAGGTGCACTGCTACCTGTGCTATCTGCTCTTCCCTGCTGCGCTTGCTGATATGCATGATGCGCTTGTGACTGTTGTCCAGCATCATATGGCCCGATCCTCGCAGCCTCCGCTGCGCTCTGAGCGGGGTGGTGGTACGAAGGCGAAAAATGCGCATGCGAAGCAGGTATCTCTCTCCCGCTCGACGCTCTCCTCCCATCCGCTTGCTGTGCTGGACCAGTCGAACTTGGATGAGGCGGCGCACCTGTCGATGAGATGTGCTCGTGCGGGCGTGGGTGCGCTCGCGGCGACGAGTATGGATGGGCAGGACTAAAAGACGGAGGAGCGGCGTCGCTCGCGTGAAAAGAAGCAGGTCTATTCGTGCTCAAAGGCGACGTCACATTTGGTCGAGCAGGGAGCTGAGTTTGTGGTGCGTACGAAGCAGACCATCTGTGCGATTGGGTCGTACCCGTAGCGGATACAAATGAGGCAGGGTCCCTCGATGCGTATCCCGAGTCAGCATCGGGTTTGGGAGGTCTGGCAGGTGCTCGACTTTCTTCTCGCGAGCCAGAGGCCGATGAAGATGCGGCAATAGTCGTGGCAGGAGATGCGTAGGGAGCAGGAGAGGATCGGAAAAAGTCGGACGTCGATGGAGAATTTCGACTAGAAGAAGCTTCTCCGCTCTCTAATGCTGTCCCGGTCCCGCTCCGACTCGCTTGATGCGCCTCTGATGCGGGTCGAGCATACACGGGTGGCATTTGTCCAAATTGTTGTTGCAGAGATTGTACCATGTTGACCAAATTGCAGGCCTTCGGAGGAGAGTGGGAGCGGTGATCGAGTGAGCCAGCGTGGGCCGAGTCCACCCGCATACATTCACCGATGTCCGCACACGCGTTCACCGAAACAGCCATCTGGTCGTCCCGCGCGCGTGCTTACTCTCTCTCTCTCTCTCTCTCTCTCTCTCGCTTGCTCGATCAACTCACCTCCCACTTCTTCTCCCACATGCTCAGCCACTCGCCCGAAGTCTTTCCGCTCAGATCCACATGTTCGCCCTTTCTGACGAGCATATCCCTCGTCGGCGTTACAAAGACCAAAGGAGCTTCCCTAGGATACGCTCTAGGAATCCAAATGATGAGGGGAATGTGATACGTTTGACCTTTGAATAGGATGGGAATTGTGCCTTTCAGGTTGAGCAAGAGGGAAGCCTGACCTACGTCTGAAATGTATTCGGACGTGCTTGGACGCAAGGAGGGTTGATGAAGCAGCAGCGCATCTACGTCGGTGTAGATTCGAGAGGCGTTGGGATACTGTTTGGCCAGCGAGTAGGCAGCTGGGTCAGACGACATGTTTTTTTCGTGGTGCCATGCCACGCAAATGGCTACCAAATACACTCACCAAGCTGCTGACTTGCCTCAACCACCTGCGGACCACATCCTGATCCATCCTGCGCGATGGTGTGCTGCCCAAAGTCTGATTCCGATCGTGCAAGCTGATGCTAGAGCAGGATGATGTGGACGAGAATCGAGTGTAGTCGTGTGGAGATGATCGAAATGAACAGGAATGGAGTGGTGAGTGATGGGTGGTGAGTGGTGGTGAGGTTTGGGGAAGTGGAGCGGCTGCCTTGCCTGCTTGCAATTAACGAGTACCAACCAGCATGCGCATCCAATCACAATCGTCAATCACGAACATGCATGCAGGTCCCCAGAATTGGTGGTGTGCGTGTGTGCGCACGTGATTGCCGATGGGCGCACACGTCTCACTCGCATTCATGATTCAGATTCGTGATTAGTCGTGATTCATCAACTGTTACTCACAATTTCAAGTACCTACACGCGCGCGCACTCCGCACGCACGCAACAGCTCGCCCGCCGCGCCCGCCGCGCCCGCCGCGCCCATCACTCGTACCTTTGAACACTTAATTGTGACTCCACCCACCACACTCCACACAGCGGGCTCACACCTCCAAGAGTCACGAGTCAAGAGTTGAGCTCAGACTCCATTCCGCGAGCATCTTTGCGCTCTGCAGCTGATATGGAGCAACGCCTGCGCATCTATCACTCTTGACTGTCATCAGGCAGCATCGCACCTCCGCTCCACTCCCCCCCACACCCGCACCTTTTGACCTTCGATCGGCAGAAAGAAGGGTGCTGATTCGGCGTGACAGACCGACACGAGCTTCCTCGGACGCGGGGGTGGGCAGACGCAGACGCTGGAGGGCATCGCATCTCATCGCATCGCATCGCATCAGCCAGCAGCGATGGGACTGGCCATCTCCACACTGTGGAGCTCCTTGTTGGGTCGATCCAAAGAGTTGAAAATTTGTATATTGGGATTGGATAATGCGGGAAAGACTACATTGTGTTATCAGATGAGCATGGGTCAAGCTGTCGCTACTGCCCCTACAGTAGGCAGCAACACGGAACAATTCACTTTCAAAAATGTGAGTCTAACATGAGGCGCGCGCGCGCACACACACAACGGTGATGTTGACGATGACGACGAGGATGATGGTGACGATTGCTGCTGCCTTTTTGTCCCTGCAACGCGATTACTCAGTTGTCATTCATATTGTGGGATGTGGGAGGACAGGCTTCTTTGAGAGCCAGTTGGACTTCCTACCTTGCAGGTCTGGGCGAAGGCAAAGGCGGCGTAGTCTTCGTCTTTGATTCGACAGATCGGGAGAGGATATCCGTCGCACTGCAAGAATTGCACAGGGTAGCAGGCGATGAAGTGAGTCTTTTGCATCTGATCTCCTCTCCCCCTCTGTGCCTACACCGCTCGCAACTGACACCGGCATCATCCCTACGCCACCCTCAACCTCGCAGCAAGTTCAAACTGCCCCGCTGCTCATCTTTGCGAACAAACAAGATGTTCAAGGTTGCCTCAATCCCGCCGAAATCTCAGACGCGCTAAACTTGACAGCGCTCAGATTGAGGGATTGGCACATTCAAGGCTGCTCAGCCTTGACTGGCAAAGGGTGAGTTTGCAGCCAAGAATCGCTCCTCGGTCTTTTCTGCGTGGCCCAGTAGAGGCGGGCAGATTCGAGATGAGATGAGATGAGATGAGAGGACATGCAAAGCTTGAGGTCACTTACGCTCCCTACGTATCCCCACTTCCGGCTCTCTTTCTCTCTCTCTCTCTCTCTCTCTCTCTCTCTCTCTCTCTCTCTCTCTCTCTCTCTCTCTCTCTTTCTCTCTCTCTCTCTCTCTCTCTCTCTCTCTCTCTTTCTCTCTCTTCTCGCTCTCTCACTTCGCCCGACTGCGCATCCTTGCTCTACGCATATGGCACAGCGTGACGGAAGGACTGGATTGGCTCGCTGCTAGATTAGCAGGTTGATTGCCACACTTTACAACTCTCAAGCAACGCAATATTAGCATCTCTTTCACCATCCTGTCCATACCCTCATCCTCCGTCATCCCGCGTGCACATCTAACCATCGACTTCTGCCCCACGCACATACCTTCTCTCGCAGCTGCGATGGGTCCTGTTCAAGCGTCTGAAGCATTATCGCCTCACAGTCCCTTGCTCCTCACAATTCTGCCGCAGAAAGCGGACCGATCGGACTCGGAAATGTGGTTCTGATCTGATCGCACTGCGTGATTTTTTCATTCACTACTCTGAGAGGCCTTCAAGGACATACGTGACTGCAAGTCCAGATGACGAGGGGCAATAACGCTCCACCGGGCAGCAGCGCAAGCAATTGCGCTTTGTAAGAATGACATTGCCGTAATGTGAACGTGAACGCCGCGCGAATCATGAATGCTAAAAAGTGAATGAGTGAGTGGGCTTGAGGGAACGAAGACCAAGGTTGAATGGTGAATGGGTCCGATTAGATCAGGATCATATCCAGCGTAATTCTTCGACGATGGATTCTGTGCCTTGTTGAGCTTCCACGGCGCGTCTTTGCGCCAATGCTTTCTCTCTCGCACGTCCAAGATGCTGCAGCCGGGAGACCCAATCTGCGGGATGGAATCAAGGCAGGGCCAGTCTCAGTTTTCCGATTCTCAATACAAGCACAAATGTCTTATGATGGGCGAAAAGCTCGTTGATCGGGCAGTCCCTGTAAGACTCACTGCTCGTATAAGGTCTCAAAGTCGCTCCCGTCGCGTCAAAGATTTGGCTCACAACGTTGCCATTGAGCGCCAAGATGCGCACAAAGGCAGGTAATGCCGATGCAGAGACCAATTGACCGTCACTGACTGGCGAAAAATTGGGCAAGCCGGGCTTGCATTGCAACGAGACTCGATCTGCAGGGAGGGTGGCGGAGAAGCAAAAATGGGATGCCACCAGGTAAGCTTGCAGTCGAGCTCCGACCGAGCGAGCAGGATCGTGACATTGCAGACTCACAAAATGTGCTATCGTCTGGAGCCACTGCTCCCAGGTTCGTACCACCGCGCGAATTTGGCGAGATGACGATGTTGACAAAGTTGAATTGACTAGGGATCGTATCGAAGCCGTACTCTTCACCGCCCTCGTTCCACACGATGTGTACCCAATCATTGCCTATGAGAGCTTTCTTGTGTCCGTGATTGGGATCGTGCGCGCTTGTGGGCATCAGAGTAGCGGTGTGGTAGACGATCTGAGAGATATCGTCGCCCCAAACATAGGCGTACTTGCCGTGCTCGTCTGCTTGTCGATCGAGCCCGCCAGTGTACACGTCCTCTTGACCTTTCAGCGTGATCAATTTTCCCAATCCCGACAAGAACCTCGCATACGCTGCTGATCCCGTCGCGTTGGCCAAAATGTCTTGCTCCTGCGTCTGACCTGGCGCAACGTACAGCACACCAATCTTGTGGAAATCCACGACTGGCGTAAAGTCCATGTGTCGAATAAGACGGTCGGTGGCCGGCTCATTGGGCAACAATAGCGGCGTCTCATCTAGCTTCATATCTGGGAACGCCGTGAGCTGCAAGGCTACAAAGCCAGGATCGATGGCCGCGTCTCGAGTCGACCGATTAGCCGATGGCTTGCTGCTGCTCGCATTGTATCGCTCACTTGAAGGAGCCGAATCCGCAGCAGCTCCTACAGAAGCCTCCTGACTGGACTGTTTCGAGTGGGCCAATTGGTCCTCTTTCGACGGGGTAGTTGGAGAAAGTACATCGTCGATGACTTCCATGACCGCGGATGAGGGTGTAGCCGACATTTGCGGACCTCCAGTGCGCGGCAAATTGGTGCTGTGCGGCTCGTCGATCGACACGTCCGCATTAGCAGCTTCGATGCGGTAGGGATCAACAGGAGCTGTCCTGATCAGCATGTCGCCAGAAGTGCCGCCCGAGTAGGAAGCCGAGCGACCAATGCGCGGTCTGAGCGATGCGGGCGGTCCGACGGGCTGCCTAGATCGCAGCTCGTCGCCAAATCTGAGCCGTTGTTCGGCTCTTTGACGAAGCGAGAGCCGATCTGCGCGCTCGGCAGGCTGAAGTGTGGGCGCTTTAAGGATCGGACGAGACAAGGCGTCGGGATCTCGCTGCATCATCAGCATAGCAGGCAGATCCATCCTTTCATCATCTTCATCCGGCAGAGTGCTTGTGGGCACGTTTTCGAGTTTGCAAAGCAGAGCAGCGGTACCCGAAGGTCGACGCACGACGATCTCGACCCAGCCAGTCTTTTTGAGCGTGGAGACCGTCACGAGCGCCTTGCCAAACAGCCAGCTCTTGACGACTGCGTTCGGATCCTTTGTAGCAAGTCCCCCTCCCGCCTTGAGAGCTGCGGGCGTGCCGCCCATGACGATGGAATTCAAGAACGATCTGGTCGGTTTGGGCTCGGCATTGGAATGAGTGAATCGCGCAAGAAAGTCGAAGCAGACCTCTGTCTGATCAGCCAGCTTTTCGCGACCTTCGTTGGCAGTTCGAAGACCTCGGGAGATGTAGGCCACATGTTTGGACCGATCGGGGATGCGAAGAGAGATGAACCACAGACTGATATTGTAGTAGGCGAGCATCATGACGTACTGAGAGAGGGTGAATTGAGCAGGGCTAGAGCGTGGATCTTCCGCACTGCTGGTGGTCGAGTTGGCTTGCCGGTCCGTGGAGTCCATGCTGCGTTGCCATTGGCTATGGTACTGAAGGTACTGCAGAGATATGCCAAAGATACGTCGATAGTCTGCTTCCGTAAAGTTGGCGAAGCAAGCAGGTATGTGGCCTATAGCGGCGATGAGCTCGAGAATGTGCACGCTCATGACTGTGGAAGACATGACGGTGGACAGCTTGACCAGCATGGCAGGCAAGAGTCGTGTGACGGATTTTTGCAGCTCGTAGCAAGCGACAGAAAGCGCTCTGACGCAAGGCTGGGCGGTATTTTGAGATTTGTTGAGACCAGCGATGAAAGCCTCGACCATTTCGTCTTGCTGCGAGCGGCTGAACAGAGTCCTGTAGCTGATCAGAATCGTCAGCGTGGCATACACGACCGCATAGACGTCCGTCCGCTTGACCTCCTCTGGCAGATGCAGCTCGGGCATCAATGCGTGCTCCAGGATGCTAGAGCAGAGCAGCTTTCGTAAAGCCACGATCTGGTCTCTAGCTTTAGGTCCGCAGAAAAGATGCTTGTTGGCGAGTTGATGCGGTAGATGGCATATCAGGTAAGATCCAATTTCCCAGTCCTTATCAGTGGCAAGAATGCGCACCATCAGAGCGAGATACTCCGACACGGGTAGCGGTATTGGAGCCTCGTCCTCGTCATCGAACGTGTGACCGTGTGCATGGCCGTGCGCACAATGCGGATCAGCAGTAGGATGTATGTACGTATACACCACGTCGCTTCGCAAGTGCGAGTCTGGCGCTTCGAAGTGCAGACGCTGTGGAAGTTGCCAGAGCGGTTCCTGAGCTTCGACAGCAGGGTGTGGTGGGCCGGCAGGAATCTTTGGGAGGTTACGAGTTCTGCTGGTACTTCGTTCTCTTCTACCTTCTTGACGTGACGACTCGACGTTCGCTCTACCTCTGTCCCTCGAGGGCTCTCTGATTCGAGATTTGGAGCGTTCCGACGTTTGTACAGAATTGTTCACGCCTCTCGGCTCTCGCTGCTCTTGACGAGCAGAAGTGCTCGCCCTACCAGGCCTGGTCGAGGAGCTTGTGGAGATCTGCTTCTCCATGCTGGCAGAAGATGGTCCAACGCCAGTGGCTGTGGAGTCTGGACCGCGCTGCAAGGCTGTGGCAGCAGCTTCCACTAGTTCGTCTACGTCAGTGACGAGGTATATGCGATGCTGACGGTCAGTCCTGAGTCGCAGAAGCCACTGTAAGATAGCGAGTCTAGCCGCAGAAGATGGTGATCCTTGCATTGAATCTGTCCCGCTCTCCTTCTCCGTGGTGCGTCCGCGCAACGAAGCGGGGGGTTGCAAGAGCCTGAGTAGGTCGCGGAAGATGGTTAAACAGCTCGCACGCGTCTGTTTGAGACCTGAAGCATGCCTGCGAGACTGACTCGGCTCTGCAGAGCTCGCAAAAGAGGTCCACGACGATGCGAAAGCCATCCTGTTAAAGACGGCAATGAGGGCCAGAACAGAATTCACTGCCTTGTCGGATGCTAGCGCGCGCTTAGGTACGGTGGTCGGTGCCACTCCAACAGAAATGTTGCCCACGCTGCTATGGCGTGAATGCGTTTGCGTCTGTGCGTCCCTTCCAGAGCGTCGATCGTGCGATCCAGGCGGATCTGCGAACGAGACATGGCCTGTCAAAACGTTTGCGGGGTCTGCTCGATTTGTAGCGGTGGCAGCTGTGGAAGTCAAGTCCTTGACCCGGGCCAGCTGTCCAAATAGCTGTCGAATCTCGACGAAGACTTGCTCCGACTTGCTCGTCTCCACAGCGGCCAGGCGTTCATTGACGTGCTGTCCGAGCTCGCGAGGCGACGGTGGACCCGAATCCTGCTCGTCTTTCTCCTGTCTTGATGCAGACTCTTCGTCAGAGTGCTCAGGCGCCGGCAAATCGGGTGGCAGCGAGCCCGCTTGAACGGCAGCATCTACAAGCACTGCGGTGATCGCGCTTGCGACCTCAGGATCCGTTTCGTAGGCAAGCGACGTCTTTGCCAGAGGGATAGCGATTTCAAGCACAAATTCCGACCTCTGAGCCGGCAAATCCTTGAGGATATCGTACACATGCTTGAATATGAGATCGATCAGCTCTACTCTGGCTTTGGGAGCGGGCATGGTGCCAAAATCGCGCGCCGTTTGCTCGTACCTATGAAAGAAAGCTTGCAGCAGATCGCGAATGTTTTGTATCCAGCGCGGATCGCAAGGGAGGCACGAGTGCTGGGCCTTGAAGTGCTTTATGAGGTCCACAACGGTCGCATCCGGCAACAATGGAGCGAGGGCAAGCAGCAACTTGACGAGCTTGGGCGTCCATGGAACAGAGTCTTGCTCGCGGGTATTTGCTCCCTCGGCCGTTAAACTAGCCTCAGCCCGTAAGACCGTCGCAGCCGGTGCGAGGTTGACGCGCGAGATGGTCTTCAAAAGCGCTGCAACGGGCGATGGCATGCTAGCAGCAGGGGCAGAAGCTGCGCTACTACTGCTGTACGCGGTACTTTCGAAGATGCTCGTTGCGTGGCCTTGCAGCTTTCCGCCTTCAGTATGTCGGCGAGCGATCGACGTCAAATCCAGTAGAGCATCCCAATCGCTGCGGGACAAAGGCTCCACCAACGTCAGCCCCGCCGACATCGACTCCTCCACAGACTCCTGGCGATGGGAAGGCGGCTTCTGCCGTTGTGGAAGAAGATCTGCTACGAGATTCAATACAGCCACGTCGAGCGCATCAATTTGACGCGCGAGTGCGCCGCGGAGAGCCGGCAAGATGAGGGCTATGGACACGGATGGCGCAAGCGCGTCCTCATTCTGTCTGGTTGACGTAGCCTCGCGATGCGCTGCGCTTGGAGCTACAGACTCGCCAACGACGAACAAGGCGTGGCGTAAGAAGCTAACGGCTCCAAGTAGAACGCTCAGCTGCTCGCGATAGAGACCGAGCGCGGTGTGAGCATGCTGATCCGCGGCTGCTCCAGAGGCTTCGTAGCTATCTGCTTGGAACGGTATTGTTGCCAACATGCCTCGGACATGTCGAAGCGCGGCATTGGCACCGTGACTGCGGAGCAAATTCGTAATAACCGGTAGAAGTTGTGGCCGCCAATCGAGCTCCTCTTCGACTTCCCTGCCATCCTTCACTCGCTCGGCCGCTTGGTGGCCTAGGAAGCAGCAAAGGACGTCGGCTACAGCTTCAACACAGGCAGGAGGTACAGACCCGTACCGGAGGGCTGCATCGAACAATGCGATCATGGCTCTAACATCGCTGGCGTGAAGCTCCGAGCTCGGCTTCGAGCTAATTGGTGCTGGCGCGTTGCTTTGGGATGCCGGCGGTATCGTAGCTAGCGCTATCGGCGCAACCTTAGGTGTCGAGGATGGCGAGATCGAAGCTTCGGTGGATGTTGGAGGACCCGCAATGTTAGCGGAAGCGGAAATCAGGCTTGTTAAAAGTGGGGATCTGGAAGCATTCTGCGTTGCTGGCGAAATAACAGGCGTGAGACTGCCGGATGACGGGGTCAGCTGCTCAAGTCCATAGTAATCATAGCCTTCCGTCAATGGTCGAGCATCTTTGGATCTGTTGCGTCTGCTGCTTCCAGTTGCTGCAGGGACACCTGTGGACTGCTGCACTCCGCTAGGGTCAGCTTGCACATTCTGGCCGAGGACGAGGTCGGCAATCTCAAAGAAAAGATCTTCGACATGATCTAGATCCAATTTGGTGAATGAGAACTTGAAAGTCGAAGTGGCCAATTGCAACAGGGCCTGCAGATTCCACTCCCTCAAAGAAAGCTGCACGGAAAGGAGGTCCCCGGCCTCGCGCAATTGACGAAGTCTTGTCGCTGGAGAGCTGGGTGGGACCTGCTGTGACTCTTGGAGCTCTGCATGTGCAAGTCGACGCAGAATTTGAATCTCACTCCACATCGTGTGCAGCCAAGTGCCGATCAAGGCGATGATGCTCTTGAACGCCACGACGTCCCTCCCGTCCATTGATAGCGCATCCAATGCTCTAATCTGAGCCGGTAGGGCGGGCAGTGCGGTAGCAGCGATGTCTTTCTTGCAAGGAAGGCAATGCTCGAAGCCGGCGGAGAGGTCAGTGATCAGGTGACTGAGCAGAGCTCGATCGATGTTGGCCAGCGCTTGAGCTCCATCGTTCGTTTTGGAAGATTGGGAACCGGGCGCTCCGCTTCTCGTCTCTGCCAAAGCCTTCGGTCCAGCGGAAGCCCTCTTGTCGGAAAGTCGCACTGCTTCCGTAACCACATCGCATACAGCTACTCTCAGTACGATTGGAAGCTCCCTCGCCTCTCCGAGCAGTTGGATGCACAGTCTGACAACATCCGTTTGTCGTAAGCTGGGCTGCTGTTTGACAGCAGCAGCTGGGCTGGCCCTCGAGACAGCAGTCGCAGGAGACAGGGGCACAGAGGTGTGGTGCTCCTCCAGAAGCGCATCTTGCTCCGAAGCGTACCTTACTGCAGCCAAGATGCCTCTCAACCGTCTTTCTCTGTCCGCGACCACCTCATCGCGCTTGGGCTGCGACAGCGGGAGAGGAGACCTCAGCTCTGCGGCATCCTTCTCAAAGTCGGACCTGGACAAAGGAGCAGAGGCGGGGAGAGCATCCGTGGGTAGCAGAGGTGCAGAGGTGGTCAACGCATCGCCAAAGGTGTGGTCCACTGCTCCAGGTAGCGGCGAAGCGGTCGCTGAAGAAGCCGCGAGAGAGGGTGGGGCGGCAGAAGAGCGAGAGGACCTGAAAGGTCTGAGGAGCTGCTGGCTCAAGCTCGTCTTGGACATCGAAGGCCTTCCTGACATGTCGATACCGATCCAAGGCTACCTGCCAGTACGCTCATCCATAGCGCCGCACACAGCCGGCCATTGCTCGCAGTATGTTGGAGAAGCGGACCTCAGCCTGTTCCCGCTGGCAGACGAGAGCAGTGGAGGTCTTGAAAGGTGTTGGCAACGTGTCAGCCGCGCCTCGCACCTGCGGCGATGGAACGACGTGGTGCGCAGCGAGTAGTCGGAACACTCTGAGTCTGAGTGCGAAACCAAGGCTTATAATTGCACTCTTGACTGATGACTCCTGGTCAGATGATGAGAATCAGGAATCGACAAACGGATTCATGATTGATCCTTGCTGCGTGAGAGGCGCGTTGTGAGGTCAAAGATTCATAGATTTGGGGGACGTCGGTGAGGGAAGTTCGGTGGCACGTGATACTCGTGGCTCTCTCTCTGCTCTGGTCACATGCTGCATGCATGCATGCCCAGCCTTCATTCCGCGGGGCTAGGCACGCGCCGCATCAGATTCATCTCCCATGCATCGAACATCGAAGCGATCACCCATCACTCGACTCCTTCTCTCCGCCTCCCATTCTTGACTGAAACATTGCTCTCCCTCAAATTCAGATCTCCTCCTAGCAGCGCACCCATTCGAGTCTCTTCTCTGCTGGGCCTGCGGGACCACGGCGCGCGCCCACAGAAGCGGGAATTTAGGCAGTGCGTCTAGGTGTGACCTCCTGGCCTACGCGCGCCGTCCTCGGTCATGGCAGCCGAGACAACACGAGTCATGAACGGTCGAAGCAGTTCGGCGTCGTCACCGCCTTCCATGCACGGCGGTGCGCCTTCTCGCCAGGCCCACCTGAAGCCACGCTCATCCGGAGGGATTCGCATCACCACCGTCAAACGCAAGGCTCCTCCACCGGGTGGCGTTGGGCCAGGTGCGGCGGCAGGACCTTCTCGCCTTTCCTCTTCCCAGCCGGCTAAGCAGACATCGATGGGTAGCATCGCGCCCAGAAACGCACTTCCTGCAGAAAGACTCAGAAGGATAGAGGAAGAGGCAGCGGAGCGAGCTCGAGAGAAAGAGCGCAAGGATAGGGCAGAGTATGAGTCGAGGGTCAGACAGGCCAAATCATCAGCCCCTCCGCGCTCCAAAGAAGCTCACAAGGGACCCATACGCAAAGGTACCAAGCGTCCCAAGGTCGACGACAGGAGATCAAGCCTTACAGCATCGCCAGCGCCCAGCTCCGGAAGTAGAAGGGCATCAGCTGCTCCGGTGGTCTCTACGGCGTACGCCAAACTGGGCAGACAAGGCGTAGAGGCGGATTATCGAGTTCCGCGCCAAGCTGCATTCATCGAGGATCGTGGAGAAGCTTGGAACGGAGCCATAAGCAGCGCTGCTCTGGTACAGATTGCGGTCGCTAATGGCAGGCGATACGGGTCGTGTGAGTGTGGACGGCCATGTGCCTCCGAGTCTTTCAGGGCTTCTGTGTACGTTGAAAGCCGGCGGGGCTGATGTACCGCCAACAACACCCTCTGCCCTCTAGACTTCCGCGATCTTGTTCCTGAGACGAAGCACGTGACCTTGCAGTACCCTAGTGGAGACACAGAGGCTTTCCCACTCGAGGTGCCCGCAGTGGTGGACGAGTACGATCCTCTCTCCGACCTCCTCCGATCGATCAGATGCATAGTGGCACACTATCTGCCCAAGGAATGGGCAGCTGAACATGTTGGAAAGCTGGACAGTCTCAATTTCAGCTCTGCTGCTGGGGCAATCTTGCAGCCTCAGCATGTCTCGCCGCTGAAAGGTGGGGCAGGAGCATTGGGTGACTCTACCCCTTTGCTTGGCACGTCTAGCCCTGCGCACTCCACAAGTGCTACCAATAGTCCTGGAACGAAGTCGAGCGCACCGGCTCCCATTCCTTCAGACAATGGCTCAACAACACCCCTTACGACAGACGGTTACGCGACACCAAAAGCGCCGGGAACTCCAAGCACTTCCGCTCAAATTGGATCCAGTTCTCACGCGTCAGGAGATTCCATCTTGCGCAGCCTTACAAAAGCTCGCAATCGAAGAGACGGTCCATTGTTCGTCTCGACGCTAGCTAAATTCAACGAAGCTGTGTCTAAAGCTCGCCAAGAGGGCCTAATCGCAGAGAGGATCGAGAAGGAGTGGAGCGAAGAGGGGCTGCCAACTCCAGTTTGGGAGACTATCAGCGAGCAGTCGTATGCGCGGACGGTCGGTCCAAAGGTAGAACAGCTTGCCAAGTATGAGGCATTCAGCGATAATGTGTAAGTGGCAGATGTTGACTGCAAAATCTCTAGTCTCCTTTGCGTGTGATCTAAATAGCCTTTCATTCGTGTACAGCTACGGCGAGCTGCTCCCACGTTTCATGTCTGAAGTCGCACAACTCACAAGACTAGGATCCAGCTCGGTGTTTGTGGATCTCGGATCTGGTGTTTCCAATCTGGTCCTCCAAGTGTCTCTTCAGACAGGGGCATCCTCTTATGGTGTGGAGATGATGAGCAACGCTTGCGAGTTGGGGTCTGAACAGGTCAAAGAGGCCAAGAAAAGGTGCAAGATGTGGGCTGTAAGCATGGGAGATGTGCAAAGCTGGAAGGGCGACTTTACCTCGGATGATACGACGAGACAGTGGCTCACCAAAGCTGACGTCGTGCTAGTCAACAAGTAAGGATCTGCTTTCGATTACGTATCACCTGCATGCAATGCTGACTTGCGCTCGACTTTTTTCACAATTTCCAGCTACGCTTTCACAGCCCGAACTAATGACTCGTTGTCTCTACTATTTCTGGACCTCAAAGACGGCGCCAAGGTCGTCTCCCTCAAACCTTTTGTGCCTCCCGATTTCAGATTGACAGAGAGGACGCTGGACAGTCCTTTAGCCATTCTGAGCGTGGAGCAAAGAAGTTATGGCAGCGGCTATGTCAGCTGGGCAGATGGAGGTGGCAATTACTACATCCACGTGAGTCGTACCTTTGTTAACACTCGTCAGAGCGCGAATTGTAGACTGATCCGCATGGTTCGCCTCTTGACCTCGGCTCCCGGTCCTTCGCAGACTGTGGATCGATCCATGGTCAAAGGATTCTTGGACAAGACTTCGACTAGTACTCGTGCGGCACCATCCAACCCGAGGAGATGGAAGCGAGCCAAAATGGAAGACTCGGAGGAGTCTGACGAATGAGCGTGGATTGAGAAACCCCCCCCCCCCCCCCCCCCCTCCCTCTCCGGGCTTTGGTCTCCGCCCTGACCTTTCATGCGCAAGTCTCTCGTTTAAAGAGACGCAAATACATCTATCATATATGCGTTTCTCCGTGCTGCCTACCTACCTGCACGAGTCAGTCGAGGATGAGTTGTGAAAAGGACGTCGCTTAGCAACGCAGCCTGACCCTTAATTGCCAGCTTCTTCAAACGTGCGCGCTGATCCTTGCCGCGCAGCCTGCCCCCCCCCCCCCCCCCCCCCCCCCCCCCCCCCCCTGCTCACTCCATCATTGGAACAGGAGCCGCGCGAGGCGGCAAGGGTGAGGGAACAGATTCATTGCTCGAGAAGCTAGAGCTAAAGGTGAGGTGATATTGTCATGGAAGAGATGGGGGATGGTGGATGTCGTACAAGGATCGAGGAGGTCTGACAAACAAGCGAGGCACCGACGTTTCAAGGCTGAGAGGGCGAACGAATGCAAAGCCCTCGTCCTGTTGGTTGACGGACGAAGGATCAACCTATCTCTTCTCTCCTCTCCTCTCCCCACGTGCGGACATTCCAATGAGCATTTCGCTGCGCTGCCCATGCGCGCCTCCGTCGGCCTTTTGCCTCGCCTCAGATCAGACCAATGGTGCAGACGCATCTGAACCTCTTTGCGCTCTCCGTCTTTGCGCTTCCCAATTCCCCATCCATCAAAAACGTAGCGCCCAACAACGACGAGCTCTTCCAGCCCCAGCTCTGGCTGACGGTGAATTGGTCCGGACCGGAGGAGAAGCGGGTCAATGCGGAGCCTAGGGGGCTTGGACAATGTATGGCGAAAAAGGCGCGCAAAAGTCTTCGGTCGTCCCGGTACGGCATGCTCACCGCGCTGCTCGCTGCTTGAGATTGAGCTTGCGCCTGCGATTGAGATGGCGATTGGGACACATGTTGCCCACCCATCGCGCCGGACGAGCGGGAAAGGGCTGGTAAAGCAGCCCCCGTCGGTGCAGAGGGCGTGGTGGGGCTCGAGGGTGCAGGTAAAAAGGAGGCAGGATTTTGCGATTGCGATGCGCTAGCAACGTCCTTCGAGGTGCTGCCGCCCGTAGGCAAAGATACCTTTTGCGCTGTGCCGGCGTGCAGCCCTTTGGACGCGTTCGAGGGGAAGAGAGACCCGCTGCCTGTACTGGAAGGATACGCGTTGCTTCCAAGCCCTCCATTCACGAGCGAATGAAGCGGGGCCGAAGTGTTGGAGCGAGGAAAGAGGGGAATAGGTGGCAAATCGACGTGGTCCTGTGCGACCGACGACGCGTCCATCGCCGGCTCCAGGAAAGACTTGGCATTCGACGACGTGGAGTTGGTGCTCGCACGTCTAGACGTTGGAGGCTGAGGGGATAGTGATCCACCAGACGCGCTCGGAGGACCCGCAACGCCCCCAGCTTGCAAGGTATGAGCACCGCTCGGCAAACCGATTCGAATGCTCGGCGTCTCATCCACCTCTCCGCCACCCATCGAGTGTCCTTCAGTCTGCCAAAGAGCTTCGTGCGCATTCGCAAACTTGTCCATCACATTTTTCGCGCCGCTGTTGATGAGCGAAAGAGCCTGGGGGGTGAGATGAGCACTAGCGCACCCCTCGTTTGTGCCGTACTCGTACGAATTGTAGGAGATTGGGGGTTGACTGGCCGGGGGCAGAGGTTCGCTGGGGCTCTGACGATGCAAGTAGACGCCCAATTGTAGACCCTTTGGCTTCCGAAGCGTCTGGCAATACAGGTTCCAGATGCTACCAGCATAGAAGAAGGTGGGCGAGTAAAGCCTCTGCTTCTCTGCCAGTTTGTCCACGCCGTAGAATTCTACTCCTAGTCGCATAGGCTCGTAGCCGGTCCAGCGGGACTTGAGCGCAGCATCGGCTCGCGGCGAAGCGGCGAATGGAGGCGACATCGAACCCTCGCCAAGGGAGGTGGCGTGCCCCATGGGATAGTCTTCTTCAGTCGTGCTCGAACGCAGCCCACTGGAGGCCCCGGCGGAGAGCGATCTGGCAGCATTGCGAATGCGCGTCGAGTGCCATGCCAGATCGCTACCGGTCTGCACGATGTTGGCCGTTCCAAAGAAACCGGCAGCGTCTCTAGTAGCAGTCATGTTGCCATTGGTCGACATCATCAATCCTCCTCCCTGACCAGGCGAGCCATGCCCATCAGAGCTGGCTCCTTGACCGTACGGATTCGGTCCGCCGACGTTGGTACTCTTGCAAGTATGGGCAGACGGCATGGTTAGTGTGCTCGGTTCCCTCGCTGCTGCAAGACCCAGCGGACCGTCCCACGATTCAGCGTTGAAGCTCGTCGAGATCCCGATAGCGTCGCTGTCCAGGCCGAGTCCAGATGCCGGCACCGCGCCTACAGCAGCCTGATGCGTGCCAGCGGAAGCAGCAGCAGCCGCTGCAGCCGCGTTGGGGGCGCTGGTTAGAGCGCCGAGTCCGTCGCCTAGCCTGACCGTGTCATCTGCAGGTACGGGAAAGAAAGATCGTCGAAGAAGAGCAGCACTGGCCCCTCCTGAACCACCAGACGGAGCAAGGAACGATGGTCCTCCCGGCGATGCCGAACTGCCCAGACCTCCCAAATGAAGATGCTGATCAGGCGAGGAGGGCAAAGAGACAGTGGAGCTCCTCACAGGCGTCCCAAATCTGGATCTAGAGGGCGTGCCCAATTTGTTCTTCGACGCTCGAGAGGCGCTTTCCACCTTGGCTGCCGCCCTTTCAAAGTCTGCCAACTGCGACGAGACGCCCAGACTGGATGTGGCAGGTTCCTTCTTTGCAGCATTTCCCGAACTCGCAGAAGCTGCAGCAGCGGCGTTGGGAGTGACATCGCCGGCTCCAGCTTGACGCTGCGCCGTATTCCCTTCCCCCTCGGCTCCTAGGACATCCCGATCCTCGTCGTCTGGTGAAGACGCACCAGCGTGCGGATCATCAGCTGGCGGCGCAGCTGCCAGAATTCGATTCTGCAGCTCGTGTCCAGCCCAATGCGCAGCTTGCAGCACCATTTGCGGCGTGTAGGATTTGCCAGTGTGGGGCGAGATGCACTGATGGATCTTGCTGAGCTCGGCAAAGGCCATGTGGGTGTAGTAGATGCCTTCGCAGAAGAGCTTCACATACTCTGCTTCTTCCGCTTCCAGATCAGGTGTATCGCACCAAGCCGACAGATCCTGGCCTCCTTCCGCATCGTTTTCTATCGCGTGTCTCCGGGTCGGATTCCATTGCGCAGCTCTGCGTCTTGGAGGTTCATGGGCATCTCGCGCCAAGTACTGATCGCTCTCTGGTACGGCGCTGGAGCCGTCCGACTCGTAAGCGTCCTCTTCTGGGGAAGCGTCATCCCCTTCGCGCGTGTTCAGACTCTCCCCAAAAACGTCGAGCTCGCTGCCATCGCGTTGTGCGCTTGCAATGAGCGCACCACGTCTGAGGTCCACGACCCGCCTCGCAAGGTCCCATCTCTCCGCTTCCCCTCTGACACATAGCGTGTCCGCGCTGATAGTTCCCCGCACCCACGAAGCAGGCACACCGCCGTGACTAGATGGGCCCCAAAAGACGAGCTTTGGAGGAGGAGGAAAGGCATGCGCGCGACCATCGCCCAGCTCGTCGGGATTGCCCGCTGCTGTAGCGTTGTACTGGACCCCTTCCGTTGATCCAGCGGACGAAGAGCTCGCTGTGTCATCCATCAAAGCGCTCCTGTGATCTTCGTCGCGGAAATGTTCAGCTTTGCTGCTATGTGCGTGCCAGTCCAGCTGTTCTTCGAGCATAACCAGAGCCTCTTCAACCTGGATCACGTCAGCGCCCCATCGAGAGATCCAACAAGCGCACGCTTCACCAATCCTAGCTGCCGCAGGTCCGTAGTCGTACTTGCGTCTCAGAGGTGCACTGCGGCTCGCTCGAAGGGCCGATTCGCTGAGGGCGCGCGACTGGCGCGGCGTGGCAGGCGCAGAGGCTTGGGCGCCGCCGCGAAAAGTGGTAGGTGATGGGTGCTTGGAGTGCATCACAGGCGACGCTTCATGGCTATGCTTCTTGATGGCTTGCAAGGGGCTGTCAGACCGAGCATCCAGGGGTTGCGCAGTCGGCATCTCGGCTTCTTTCTGGGCTGCAGCACTTTCCAAATGCGAAGCGTTTCGGCTTCCACGTGCAGAGAGGCTTGTGGAAGCTACCTTATCGGTCAGATCCTTCAATTCCGTTTGGGCGCTATCGTCCAGCGCTTCGTGTTCGTGAAAGGAATCTGACTCGGTCCCCTCGACGGCAGTGCCGAGCACCTCCGCACCCGCAAGAGGTCCGTCAATCTCTTGATCCAAATCACCCTCTGCAATGTTCGGATCCGAATCGACTCCTTCTCCAATGGCGTATCTGAGGTAAGTGGGGAGTGTCCAAGGCGTGATGCTGGCGAGGATGAGGGTGAGGGCTCTCGAGCTGATGGATGGGATGCCGAGGTACAAGCTAGTGCTCAGTAGACTGAGCAAGAATCTGGGGGTAGCAGGATGAGCGCCATCGGGAAGCGATGCTGCTTCCTGAACATCGCACTGAGCAATGCCGTCCGCTTCCAATTCGGCTTCGGAGGGTGGCATGCGAACAGCTCGCGGTGGCCAAGCCAGACCGAGTGGGTGCGTTGGGGTTGGTCTGGCCCAGCTAGGCAAGACCAGTCTGGGCTCAGCTCCGTAGAGCGATGTGAGACAGTACTCGAACGCTGCTCGACCAATGTGGGGATCGTCGAAGGAGAGACGCAGCTGAGCGCCTGGCTGAGAGGAAGAAGTGTGCAGGGTAGGTCTGAGCTGAGAATGTTCCGCCCATCCTCCAGTCAACATAGCTCTGAAGAAGGGAGATTGAGCCAGCAGGATTCGGTGGGCTGGATATGCTCTGCCAAAAGCGTGCAGCTCGAGATCGGGACAGAGGGTGGACTTGAGGGCGAATGCCAAATAGGCAGGCAAGACGTTGGCTGGTGCGCCCCTCTGAACATGGCTGGGGTTCTGATGTGCGGCTCCGGGTGCAGACGTTGCAGCACCCGCTCCGACCTTGGCCTCTGCTCCGCTTTGCATCGTGTGTGAGGGATGGGCGTTGGTTCGCTTTGGGAGGAAGAGCGTCGCTGCTAGGCCGCGTCTAGCACTACGGTCATGCTATGCGCAGACGATCTGGGGGAGGCCAGAGGCGTGAGGAAGCAACGCGATGGGGGGCGGCGGCTGGGATGAAAGGTTGAGGGGCATCATGCCATGGCTCATTCACTCACCCAGCAACGGCGCTATGCACCCCAGATCGGTATGCTGGGAGACTTGCGCTAGCCAATCCGGCAGACTGGCTGACTGACTGACTGACTGACTGACTGACTTGACTGACTGACTGATGGGGGTTGGGATCACAGCTCCTATGAGCAGCTGGTGTCTCTCACGAGCATGCACGTCGAGCGGAACGTCGATTGGGAGTCAAGAGTCGCAAGTCAGGAGTCGCAAGTCAAGAGTCGCGAGTCGCGAGTGTTGTGCATGTGTCTGCGCGCCGTGCATGGCGGTCGTGCAGCTCGCGCCTCTTGATTCACGATTGTCCTGCTGCTGCTGCTGCTGCTGCTGCTATTCAATCGTGAATATATGCCCTCGACTCGACTCACGAAAGACGTACGCGGCGCTTCACCCCCTCGTCGTATAATAAATAAGCTTCGCGCGTTGGGGCCGCTCAACGGTCACGTGGTCACGAAGAGCAGCAGGAGGTGAGGGTGGAGCTTAAACTCGTTCGTGACTTTGACCTGTTTGCATGCCATGCCTGCCTTTTGTGGAGCGATTCGCGATGCCATGCGATTCACATTCACATTCACATTGTGATTCGTGATTCGTGATTCGTGATTCTTCTGCTTCACATTCAAATTCACATTCGCAATTCGTGATTCGCTGATGGCAAACGCGGGGGGATTCTATTCAAATTGTACGACGCACCATCACACCAAACGTCCGACGCTTTCGACTCGTGACTCACTCACACTCACGACTGCTGCTTTCGAGCAAACCATCGTAGGGACCAAGTCACAAGTCTCCCTGCTTCGATATGAGTTCGGCAGGCGGGAAACGGGCGATGCCGAACAGCGGTCCATCGAGCTATCCCGCCTCCTCCTCCTCCTCCTCCTCGTCCAAACGAGTGCGCATAACCTCTCCCTCTTTGCAGGTGACCGCTTCATCGTCCAACGAAGCCGGCTTCGAAGATCAGGGATTGGGTGTGGACGTAGAGCTGGAAGAGCAGGATTCGAAGCGCAATGCTCAAGGAAGAAAGGGAAGGTTGATCACCGATGGCTATGGAAGCGAAGAGGATGTGGATTCGGACTTGGAAGAGGGAGAGGGTGTGGATGACGAGGATGAGGATGAGGATGATGGCAAGGCTGGCGAGAGCGAGGGATTAGGCGCGAGAAAGAGCGCTCTCAAGAGGCAGGGAAAGGAGAAGGGCAGCGATGAGGATGAGGACGAGAATGACGATGATGATGATGATATGTTCGACATCGGTAGCGAAGATGATGGCAAGAAGAAGGGCAAAGGCAAGGCAAAGGGACAGGGGCAGGGACAGGGCAAGGGCAAGAGCAAGGGCAAGCAGAACCTGTCGATGGGGGATATAGAGGGACAAGAATTCGGAACGGGCGATGCAGCGCTGTACGACGATGATTCAGACATGGATCCCGATCTGGAGCTAGAAGAGTCTGAGTCCGAGTCCGAGTCCGGGTCCGAGGATGTGGACGGTCCGTCAGCAAGCGCATCCGAGCGTACACCTCCAACAAGTCCCCGCGGCACTCCTCTCTCCACCTCTCGCTCTCGTTCCAAAAAAATCGAAAAGAAAAAGAAAGGCATGGGCTTCAAATTGGATGCTTTCAATATGAAGAACGAAATGTCTCGAGGAAAGTTTGACGAGGAGGGAAATTATATCGCGAAAGCTACGGATCCGCATGCTGAGCACGACGAGTGGCTCAAGGGCAACTACAGCAGGGGCGCTATAGCCAGAGCCAAAGAAGCTCAGGCGAAGCGAATGAAGGAGCAAGAGGCGTCCGTCGGACTGGGGGATGGGGAGGAGCAGATTGGCAAAGACTTGGTGGATTGTAGGATGAAGCTGGCGGCATTTCTGCAAAAGGGCGAGTCGGTGCTCGAAGCGCTGGGCAGATTGGGCAAGCTAGCCAAATCAGCCAAAAGGTCCAACACAAATACCAGAAGAGCAAGCAAAGCCTTCGACTCCACCCCCTCCAACTCCGCCACGCACAACGGCAACGCCTCAGACTCGATCAGCAGCACAGCGCAGGATAATGCTCGCAAAGAAGTAGAGATGATCTCTTCGCTCTCCAATGCGCTCATGGCGCGCTACGGCGTGATCAACATCTACGAAGAGACGTACGAAGAGATGCTGCGGCATGTCAAAAGGTCGCAAAGGGTCTCGCAAGATTGGGATCCCGCGCGCGATCGAGCTCGAGAAGCACAAGTCTCGAGTATGGACGTCGCAGACGCTTTCGACAGCTCTCGATCGGATTCAGATAAATTCATCTACAAATGGAGCGCCTCGTATCTATCCGAGGTCGAAGGATCGCACTCGCAATCCGACATCGACTCGCACGTCTCCTCGAAAGAGCAAGAGACGTTCGGCCCTTTTGCGCTCAAAGAATTGCGCTCGTGGGAACAAGGCGGATATTTCGGTGCAGGTGGAGAACGAATCGTCTTGCGTCGTGCCGGAAGCGATACCGCAACGAATGAGGAGCAAGCATGGAAAAGCTGGTCAGAGGTTGTGGGATAGATGAACTTTATAGTGGTTGTACCACGTTCCGTCTCGGCTGCCTTGGCTACGTCCAACGAGAAGTGCCTACTGGCCACACGCGGAAAAGAACACGAATCGCAATCGAAGAGGGCAAAATCAACTCTGTTCAGTCGCCGTCCTGAGCTGTTTCTCGACCAGGTCTCCCAATGACGCTTAGTCGCTGTCGCCATGAATCGAGGACCTCACCGAGTTTCTGATTCTCAGCGTCAATGCACGTCTGGCTTATTTCCCCGCAAGAGAGCCGGACTGCACCACGTACCCACACCATTCGACAACGAAGGGTCGGCAAGCGGAAATCGTGCGCAAGGGGTTTGCGTTCCCTTGCTGAAATGGCGAAGCAATGGTCCGACGATGGCGAAAGGAGAGAAGAGAAGTTGTTTGACATTTTGAGGTGTTTTTTTTTTTTTTTTTTTTTTTTTTTTTGGTCGAGCTAGGCGCGATTTGCAAATGGAATGAACGTTCCATTTGGCAGGATCAATGCTACTCGCGCTGTTGAGTTAGGAAGGATTCGTAAATGGAATGACGAAACATTTTCGCAGGGTACCGCTACTCGCGCACTGTACTGTGAGAAGTATTGCGATCCCGGTGAATTTGTTACAAAGGGGTCGCTTACAAGCACCATGCAAACGCGGAGAGGGAAGGGAAGGGGGGAGCAGGGGGGATGTTCTGTCACACGTCCTCCAAAAGGCTGCCGAGATCCAGCGCTGGAAAGGAGATCAACGCTGACCATCTGCTCTTGCAGCCGCGCCATCACCACCAGCCGCTGAAACATCATCGCCGCAAGCAGGGCTTCGCACGCTTCTGCTCAAAATCACGCTTCTATCTATAGACTGTTTGTCCTTTAGGGACAGTCTTGTCGTGCTTGACGCTGGCACCCGCGGTCTCCCCGCGGTCACGTCATGACACGCAAGAAACTCCTTGTTGCTGTTCAAGGGGGGACCGCGACTCGCCATGACCTTGTACCTGTGTACTGTTCTCACAGTGGCCCAAGGCCACATCGATCAATGACAGGCCAAAAGCTTACGCAATCAGGACAACATCCTCAACAATGCTAGTCAGAGCTTCATGATCCCTCTTGGGAGCCAAATTCTGCCCCCAGCACAGCAGATACCAATTCTCAACGCTGTTGCAGGAACAACAGAGGCCGTGGTTGTGGAGGTGCGAGTTGCGGAGGCGCGCGCAGAGGTGTAAGTTGCGGAGGTGCGGGTTGCGGTGGTGCGGGTCGCGGAGGTGCGAGTTGCGGAGGCGGCAACCCCACGAGAGGCATTTCAGCAAATCGTGGTGGCAGTCTAGGCCCTCCTTCAACCGTGCCGCGTCGCAGCAGCAGGCTTCACCTAGTAGTGAGCTTGAACGAAGACAATGAGGAAGAGGAGGAAGACGATGACGAGGAGGAAGAAGAAGAAGATCAGCTTGAGGATCAGATTCAAGCAGAGGGCTCAGAGGACCGCACAGGCAACCAACAGTCGGACGATGAAGAGCTGTACAACTATGGGCCCGTTGCAAAAGTTGACGGCTTTAGTCACAACAATGAGCAGCAGGACTTCATCCAACAGTCTGACTGGGTCAACGACGGGCATGCTACAGCAGCTTTGGGGGACTACTCAGATTGTCTTTGTCTGCTAACACAGTCAGCGCCTGATGATGAGCGCGCTAACAGCCGCCCCAGGGCTTATGTCTCCTCCTCTCAGATGCAATGCTCCCAAGGTAAGTCAAGACAGCCCGTCTTGTGTTGGCACATGCTCATGGTCTGCCTTCATCCCGCGTCAGCATCTGCCTTTCCCGACCGTCTGCATTCATCCCAGCAATTGCACGTGTCTGTAGTCACGGTAAGTTGCATTGGCTCGTCTTGTGTCAGCACAGCACATGCTCATGGTCTGCCTCCATCACAGCATCAGCATCTGCCTTTCAACGGCAAGATTCAACCATGCGTCTCTCCCACAACCATCACGCATGTGCCTTTGCTCGAGGACTGGCTTTGGCTTGCAATGAGCGCACAGCAGGCTTGCATTGAAGCCCAGGAGACTGCTTGTGCTGCAGCAGAGATTGAGCATCTCATCTCTCAACTTGAAAGCAGCTCAAGTCAAGCGGTGCTGCCGCTGGTCAAGCAAGTTCAAACAAGCCCCATCTCTGCAGCATACAAAGTGACTCTGCAGAAAGGTGTGCGCTTGTCCATGAGTCTGTTGCTGGAGGCAAAGGAAGAGCAGCTGGTCATGTGGCTTTTCCAGCCAAAGACCGCTCTGGACTATGCAACAATGTCCAGTGATGTCAAGTCACTTCCTTGTTTGTCCACCTTGACGAGGTCATAGGAGGACGCTTTGCCAATGGCCTTCTTAGACGGCTTCCCAACGAGATTATTGACTGCTACGACACCTGTGAGGCAATTGCCAATCTCACCCCTAAATGTACTTCTCAAGAGACTCAAGATGCAAGGTGGCTACAGGAGCTGGGAGAAGATGTAATGTTGCACTGCTCAGACTTTTAGAATAATGCCAGGATGGCTAGATTTATGTAACGATGCGGCTCAGCGGCGATAGCCGGAGTTGTCACCGGCGCAAGTAAGGTTCTGTGCTCGTCGAACTAAGAGCAGGGAACAAGCGGTGAGTGGACGGAACGTTACGACTGGCGAGGACTTAGCTGATGCTAGAGCTAAGAAGAGAGAGAGAGAGGGAGACAGCTGGGTGATCAGTCCAGGCGTCGAGCAAGCGTTGAAGGTGGTTGGTCGGAGTAGTGATTCAGTCAAAGTTGTCGTACGAGAAGGTTGTGGTAGGAAGCATGCATTTCTGAGAAGAGGAGGCCGGAAGAAGGCCTCCTTATATACCTTTTGTCGACGCTTGTCTGTGTATGG